CTCTGCCTCCATCAGCCACTGGATGAGAGTTCTAGGATGGCATATAAGGTAGTCATTCTCATTATCATGGGAGGGCATTTAAGGTAGTCTTAATGCCAGTTGGTGTCATTCTTGTAGATCTGTGAAGATCTCACTAGTGCCAGATCTCTCCTCCAACTTATACTGGCTCCCTCTTTTATGGTATCTCACATCCTTTTCTCCTCTATTCTTACCCTAGCTCAACCTTCCTGCTCTCCCATGTCCTCCTCTCTTTTCTCTCTGTCTTTCTCCCATCTCCTTCTACCCTCCCCATCTCCCCCCCAATTCAATTAGGAGATCACATCCCCTAACCCTTCTCCGGGTTACCATGCATATCTCCCTTAGGGTCCTCCCTGCACCCCGGACTCTCTGGCGGTGGGTTGTGGGCTGGCAATGCCCTGCTCCATCTCTAAAATCCACTTATGAGTGAGTGCATACCATGCTTGTCTTTTTGTGACAGTTACCTCACTCAGGATGACTTCTTCCGGTGCCATCCATTTGCCTGTAATTCCAAGATTCCATTTGTTTTTTTCTGCTGAGTAGTACTCCACTGTGTAAATGTACCACATTTTCTCTATCCACTCTTCAGTTAAGGGGCATCTAGGTTCTTTCCAGGTTCTGGCTATTACAAATAATGCTCCTATGAACATAGTTGAGCAGATGTCCTTATTGTATGAGTGTACATCTTTTGGGTATATGCCCAAGAGTGGAATTGCTGGATCTTGTGGTAGACCGATTTCCATTTTTCTGAGGAATCTCCATACTGATCTCCAAAGTGGCTGCCCAAGTTGGCACTCCCACCAGCAGTGGAGGAGTGTTCCCCTTTCTCTACAACCTCTCCAGCATAAACTGTCATTGGAGTTTTTTATTTTAGCTATTCTGACAGGATGCAAATAAATGAAAAAAAATGCTATTCTTGTAACTTTAAGCTGGGTAGAATGTATGGTTAGAATTTCCTAAGAAATTTAGAATTTCTTGATGTCGAAATGGAGCTAAAACATTTCCATAAAAGGTTATCAGAAAATGATTCCCATAAAGCACCTAGCGACTTTGTAACCCAAATGACTGCTTGTGCTGTCTGTCATCACAAAGGCCAACGGGCAGAGACAAGCTGAGTCTTAGTTATGTTCTTTTCAGATGGTGGTCAATTTGAAGACTGCTGGGTTCACACTCTAGGAGGAGTGAACCACTTTGTATCACACCTCCAGTCAGCATGCTATGTAAGGAGGGAAAGGGTCCAGAGCTTAGCCTCTCTCCTGTGGTCAGGTGGTCAGTCCCATGCCTGACATTCGTGGTGCTGATGTCTGATTGTCTGTACTCCCTCCTTTGTTATTGTCTCTTGGAACACTTATGTTTGGACACTCCCAAGGATACTGAATAGTTAGTTTCCGAAGGTGATATCCTGTGTTCCTCCGGGTGCCACCTGGCCTTGGGATTTAACTCAATGAGCAAACCAGCATTATGCACCCAGTGAGTTGTTTATGATGTGTACATGCAGATTTTCTTGAGTACAGGCCCTGTAGCAGAATGGTCCAATTTCCTCCAGAAAACTTTTAAAGCCAGATAATCACTCCGTTATATCCAGATAATCTCTCCTGTTACATAAACTATTCCACAACATATAAAAAAGAATAGTTTCTTTTTATGAAGCAAGTGTAACACTGATACCAAATCTAAAATAGATGATATAAAAAAGAAACAACCAACCTCACAAAATATTAACAAGTCTTAGGTCTGGAGAGATGGCTCAGTAGTTAAGAGCACTGGCTGCTCCTCCAGAGGATCTGGGTTCAATTCCTAGCATCAATATGGCAGCTTAAAAGTGTAATTCCAGTTCCAGGGGATTTGACACCCACTTCTGCCCCGCTTGGGTATCATTCACACATGGCACAGACATTCAAGTAAATACATGTATGCATATACACATAAAACAAAAAACTTACAGTGTATTTAAAGATGAGTTGGCATAAGCCATACATATAATAGAGGTGGTTCAATACTATGAAGCCTATTCCTACAATGGAGGTAATAGGTCTAAGAACAAACCATAATGATTTCCATAGATTAGGAAAAGGTCTTTGATAAAATTGAACCCCAATATCTGATCGTGTAAAAATTAAAAGCCTATCATCTAGCTTAATTCAGAAATAGTAAGCATATATCGAAGTCAAGGACACCTACTGCCTTGCCTCCACAGCAGTCTACATTGTCTTGGGAAGAACCAAACAAATCAGACAAAAGAAATGGTGGCACATGCCTTTAATCCCACTTTAATCCCAGCACTTGGGAGGCAGAGGCAGGCGGATCTTTGTGAGTTCGAGGCCAGCCTGGTCTACAGAGTGAGTTCCAGGACAGCCTCCAATGCCACAGAGAAACCCTGTCTTGAAAAGCAATAAATAAATAAATAAATAAATAAATAAATAAATAATAAAAATAAAATAAATAAATAAAAGGAAGAAAATGCTGAGGGCAATGAATTGCAATGAAGAGCTCTGCGTATGGATGGCTTGGCAGTTAGGTAGAAAACACAAACTCCAGACTGAAGTCAGTATAAGTGTTATTGTACTCCAGCACAATAAGATAATAGTAAAGTTCCAGAGTATTTAACTCCCTCTTCTGCCTCCAAGGGCGTCAGGTTCACATACATACATACATACATACATACATACATACATACATACATACATGTGTGCCATACAGACAAAACTCATACACATAAAGTAAAAAATAAGACTTAAAAACAACTTTAAAATTTTCTGCATGAATATTTCACATACAACTGAGGACTCTAGATAAATAGACCAAGGTCCACTCTGCCTAAACCTTTTCTTTTTTCCACTAAGCATCCCAGGCTGGCCTTGAATTTGAAATCTTACTGCCTTAGCCTCACAAGCACTGGGATTACAGTGTGTGTGCCACAAGACCCTGTTGTTTTTGCAAACCCAGGATGTGTGCCAGGTAAATTCTCTATCACTGAGTAAAAATCCCTGGGGTTGTGGGGACCTGGGTGGGGATAGGGTAGAGGAGTTGGAGGGGTGGGGGTTCACAGGACTTTATCCTCCCTACCTGGGATCAGACGGACCACAGGACACAATGCCTAGAGGGAACACTGTCAAAGTCAAAACCCATGTCAAGAAGTAGCAGCCAGAGCTGCCCTAAGAGATCAAGAAGGGGGTTTTTGTGCCCTTCCACTAGGGGAGCTATTACGTCTGCTTGTGTTCTGCTCTGAAATCTGTGATGGTATTTCTGCTCTCAGGGGCAAGCCTCTGACTCCTGCCCCTGCCCTCTTTATTTCTTTTCGAACTTCTATGCCTCAGCTGCTCTTGAGGAATGCAGTGATATAGAATCCCTTAAACCTGAGAAGCAGTAATCCACACATTCTTGTCATCTTAATACTTTTCCCTGCTTGGCAATATATCACAGAAATGACTCTATGGACCATATATTAAAATCTTTGTTTTATTTGTTCTTAAATTTAAAGATATATTTTTATGGACTGGAGAAATGGTTCAATAATTAAGAATGCTTGCTATTCTTGTAGAGCACTGATAAATCTTAAAGAAATTTTTAAAAATTTCCTAAAGTGTGTGTGTGTGTGTGTGTGTGTGTGTGTGTGTGTGTGTGTGTGTGTTAGAATGTGCATGTAGCACAGGTGCCCGAGGAGCCAGGAGTGTTAGATGCCCCCTGGAACTATAGTTACAGTCGATTGTAAGCTGTCTGATAAGGGTTCTGGAAGCTAAACTTGGGTCTTCTTCAAGAGCAATACACGCTTAACCACTGAGCCATCTCTCCAGAACCTTACTTTTAATATAAATAAACTGTGGAAAATGCTGTATATATTCATTATGTGTAACATGATATTTTGAAACACATGTGCTCTCTGAATAGTTATATCTAGCTAATTAAAAAATGTGTAACTGGGATTGGGGACTTAGCTCAGTGGCAGAGTGCCTGCCTAGCCAGTGCAAAGCCCTGGGTTCTGTCTCAGCTCCTAAGGCAGGGGTGGGGGGTAGGGGGTGGGGGTGAGGGGGTGGAGACCATGAGAACCATAGATAACCAAGGTATTTCTTCCAAGTGGTCAGTTTAAAACCAAAAAACACACAAACAACAAGCAATAGACTTACTCAAACTCAAGGAGAAAATACCATGTGAGAGCTAAGCTATGAGCTTTCCTGGCCCAGGGCCCACAGCTTCCTCAGTCTATCTGGTTACAGGAGACAAGGAGACACAAAGACTTCAGGTCGCGCTCGGCATGCCTGGGGAATACTCATCACCAGTGGGCGTGGACAAAGGGCAGAGATGGAGGAGGCTACATCTCTACAGCCTGTCAGGCTTAAGCTTCACCTCACCGAAGGACCAGAGCTACTAATGCCAAACCTGCTCACACTCTCTCCTCCTGGCCCAACAGAAGCTAGACTCTTGGAAACACAATTTAGAAAATGTAAAAACTTACATGACTGTTCCATGCTGGGGTTAAGAGGTAGGAGAGAGGGAGAGAGAATGTTATCTCTGTCTTCTAACCACCAGAAATCCTCCTATAGGCCAGGTTGAGCTCATTTTTGGATATTTGGACTGCTTTTCGGAGTTTGGACAATTGGGGTTTCCTCTGAACCTAGCAGGGGAGAACTGAAGAATTCCTTGCCTAGAGAATTCTTGCCTCCCCACTGATAAGGCTCTTGCATCCAGCTAACATTATTATTAATAATTATTTATTATTATTAATTATTATTATTTTAAGGGTACAGTATAATTTTCTACAACTGAGGCAGGTGGAAGCCAGCCAGGGTCTACTGAGAAGGGCCTCTTCTATGATGCTCAGGCGTGTGTGTGCCTTCTACCTGGGACTTGGCAGATCAACAAATCATTTCCCAACCTGTCCATTGGCTCTCACCCTCCCGCTGGATTAGACAAACGACACTGAGACCACGTGACAATCTACAGCGTCATGAGGGTTTCCCTTTTCACCCAGGGCCAATATAAACTGTCTCTCCAGACTGAGACACAGCGAAGTTCTCTTACACTCCACTATGCCACCGACAACCGTCTTAGAGCCCAGTCTCATTCCCAGCCCTTGGGGGCTTGTAAGACACACATATCTCGGATGAGCAGGTAGGTGAAAAGAGGGCCGGGTGAGAGGGTGCAGAATGAGTTCCAGAACCAGCCTTTCGGGTTAGAGGAGGCATCCACTCCCACCCAAATTGTACCTGGAGATCTGGGGAAAGTGGGACAGGGGGGGAAAACGAAGGCCCAAAGTGGCCTTACGACTTCTCAAAGTCACTTACTGCTTCTCTCACAGGTGTCCCTATCCTCGTTGTTGTCGAGTTCTCCGGTGTAGGCACGGAATGTTCTAACTGCGAATTCGGTGAGTCTGGTCATTGATGGTGTTCAGCTGCAGCTCACTGATGTGGCGGGGGCGGCGCTGCCCAGGCCCTTGAGAGGCCAGGCAGAGAGATCTCCTCCTCTCCAGAGACTCTACTCCAGGGTCATTCGTAGTGGCACTTCAGAGGGCTTTGTCCGCACTAGGGACTGCAGGGCTATGCTACCCTGAAGAGGCAGCAAACTCTGCTGTTGTAGCTGGAAGGCGCTGTACCACGGGGGCGGCGGGGTTAGGGGGGGTGGGGGTGGGAGGAGGAGTTGGAGGTCATTCACCACTTGCTTAAAATGAGGTAGAGAATAGTTTAGTAAACCTCTGAAGTAAAAGGGCAGTGAAGAGCAATTGTGGGCTTCCCTGTAGGCAATCGATTTCATGTTGTCTCTGAGGTGATGATGGTGATGGTGGGTAGTATAAACCAGCCAATGCCACTAGAGTTTATAGTGGTTGCAGTACTGACACTGTCCACAATTGCATCTGTGTCACAGATGTAGCTTTGATTGTTGGTATCAGATTAGCAGCAAACACCAAGATCTTCCAGGGATGTCGAGCTAAGAGGCCAGTGTCTGCCTGCTGCAGGCAGAAGTTCAGCCCAGACAGGGACAGAGACCTGGACACCGCCTGGAGGAGCAGGAGTGCCATGCCAGCCAGGAGATTTCTCTTCTCCAGCCCAGTCCTGCTCCTCTTCCTTCTCCTCTTCCTCCTGCCTCCTTCTTCTGCTACTTCTCTTTTTAACATCTTGACGAATAACTGTGTGTTTTCCACAATGAGTGTACTAATTTTCATCCCAACCAACAGAGATAGAGTCTGTTTCCTCTACTTCTACCAAAGCAATATCTTTGTTTATTTGTTTTTAAAAACAGGATCTCATTCTATTTCCCAGGCTGGCCTTGAACTCATGGCCACCCTCCTGTTTCAGTCTCTGGAGACTTGGATGTATGTATAGTCATAAACCATTATATCTGGCACTTTATGTATTTTTCTGTAATAGCTACGGTAACAGCAGTGCTCTGATTATGATTCAGACCAGGATTTATATTTTAGTCATTTGTTTGCCCTCTCAGAAATGCATGTTAACATCCACTAAAAAGCAACACGAGCTTCACACAGAAGAGGCATCTCCCCAGTTCCTGGGGCACTTTTAATGAGCCCTTCCATGAGACTGATTACCTTCATATATTCAAAACTATTTGGAGTTATCTTTCCTTTTAGAATGCCTATTGATAGCTTTTACCTGACTTCCTACTAATTTGTAGGAGTTTTCATATAATAATAAATTTATATTTTTGATTTTTGATAATTTCTTTTGTAATTGGTAGAATGTTGGGATATTTCAGTAAAATTAAATCTATTAGAAAAAACAATATGAAGACACCCTTTGGGGCTGGAGAGATGGCTCAGTAGCTAAGAGCACTGGCTGCTCTTCCAGAGGACTTGGTTCAATTCCCAGCACCCACATGGCAGCTCACAACTGTCTGTAACTCCAGTTTCAGGAGATCTGATACCTTCACACAGACACACATGCAGGCAAAACATCAATACATATTAAAAAAATCTATGCAACACAGGAAGCCAAAAAGGTAAAATAATTGTTACTGACATTTGGCAGATTTCCTTTTGTGTGTGTATTATCTCTCACTTGTAATTACTGGGACTTTGGTCTGTCTTATAAAAGAAAATTGTATAATGAAATAATAATGCACAATCAAATAATTCCCCTGACTGAATATGTGGTTTAATGTACTATTGTAATAGGAACACCCTTGCAATTTCTACTCAGGCCACCCCAAATGTCTGGAACTCTACCATTCATTCCAGTGGCCTCTCCTCATCTCAACACCGTCCCTTCCTCCCAAAGGAGCCCCCACCTCACCCTGAAAACAGTCACTTCCTTGTTTTTCTTTGTAGTTTCTCACCCTTGTGCAATCCTGGATACAACAGACTCATTCAGGAAAATATTGTCATGTCTTTAAAACATCTTTCAATCTTCAGGATCCCCTCTCTTGTTACCATTGATTTATTTTTGTTTGTATAAAAAACACTCTTTTTTCAGATAAAGATTCTAGGACATTTTCCTCTGTGTTTCCTACAAACTAAGATGAAGGTAGATTCCCTTTCCAAAGACCAATAGTTGCCAGGTATAGTGGAGCATGCCTTTAATTCCAGAACTTGAGCACTTGGGAGGCAGAGGCAGTCAGATTTCAGTGAGTTCGAGGCCAGCCTGGTCTACCAAGTGAGTTCCAGGACAGCCAAGGCTATTATTATACACACACACACACACACACACACACACACACACACACACACACACACACACACAGATTAAAAAAGATCAGTAGTGGTACCATGTTTCTCCACCAGGAGGCACCAAATATCTGATTTCTGTTTTGAGTATGTGTGATAACAATTGTTGATAATCCCAGTGCTCAGATTCATTGATTTGTTGGGAGTTGCAAAGTAGTAATATTCTAATCAAACCATTAGTTTTTCATTTGTTATTTGGAATATGATGGAATATTTTATATCAATATTGCTTTTCTATTCAGTAATCAATGTTATAACTTTATATTGGAGATTAATATTTATTTTTCCTAGTTTTTAAGGTAGTTATTTGTTTTCCTATATAAGTCAAAACAAGTCAGTTAACTTAAAAGATCCTTATGCTGGGTGTGGTAGTGCATACCTTTAATCCAAGCACTCAGGAGGAAAAGGCAGGAAGATTTCTGTGAATTTGAGGTCAGCCTGATTGGTCTTCATAGTGAGTTCCAGGTCAGCCAAAACTACATAGTGAGACCCTGTCTCAAAACAAAACAAAAAAATTCTTGTTTATGATTTCAAGATTTTTGAAGAGCTTCAATAAGAACTTCAATCAATTGTGATTCTTGTTTTGCTTATATGATTCCTGTGTTATTAGATAAGCTGTTACTGACTTTTTTTGTTTTTACATGTGAAATTATATTTCATCACCTGCCTTATGTTTTTTTCTATAACAGACTGGAATAAACTGTTTCCCTCCAACAGCCTTTGTTTCTATTAGATAAGATAGTTCAAGATCAATCAAAGTATAAAGATGACCAATTGCTACTGGATTGACATTATTTCTATGTTCATTCAATGGATAGAGCTAAGGAATGTGCTGTGGAGATATATTACTTACGATTTAGTAAATCTTGCCTGAGGATCCAGAAAGCAAAGTCAGCCACAAGCCATAGAAGCCAGGCACACACCTTTAATCCAAGCAGCCAGAGCTAGGAGGTGGTGGTATACATCTTTAATCTTAGGACTCAGGATTAAGAGGTAAATGGATCTCTATGAGTTTAAGGCCACCCAAGTATACATGAGATTGAATCAGTCTAAAGGAGTAACAGAGCTCACACTAGCGGGGTATAAAAGATAGAAGCAGGGCATTCAATATTGAGTAGGAGGCATTTGTTCTCCAGCCACATGGAGAATAGGAACGCCCCAGCCCTATTAGAGGTAAGAACTCCCTGGTAGCTTGGCTGCTTTGCTTCTCTGATCTTCAGATTGAACCCCAATATCTGACTCTGTTTTTTTTCTGCTACAATGTGCACATATCAAAGTTCATACTAATCCTTTGGAAGGGGTAGGTTATTTTGAGCCAGGGTTTTGCTAAGCAGTCCTGACTGGCCTGGAGCTCAGTATGTAGACCAGGTTGCCTTTGAACTCACACTTATCTTCCTGCTTTGGCCTGTTGAGTGCTAGGGTTACAGAGGTGCATCATCATGTGTGGCCTGCTACTTCCCATTTGAATCCAAGACCACAGAGGATTTCATATAACCTCTCCCAAATGGCCTGAAAATTTCTGTCTTCCAAACCACCCATCTCAATTTCCAAGGGCCTAGAGAATTCCAGAAGAACATCTCATGAACACTTATATACTTTAACCTATGTTATTCACAGAGAGATTTCAGAATATATAACTACTAACAGCAAACTTTCCTTTTCTCTCTATTTTGATATTTTGCTTATTGATAGAATTGATTTTTTTGACATTCATATGTGTGTTTGGTATGTGTAGTGGGTATTAGTATGAAATGTACCACCTATGGTGGTTTGAAAGAAAATGGTCCCTATAGGCCCATAGAGAGAGGCACTATTAGGAGATGTGGACTTGTTGGAGTTGGTATGGCTTGTTGGAGGAGGTGTGTCACTAGGGGGTGGGCTTTGAGGTCTCCAAAGCTCAAGCTAGTTCACTTCCTGCTGCCTGAGGCTATAGATGTAGAACTCTCAGCTCCTTCTCCAGCACCATGTCTGCCTGCACACCGCTATGTTTCCCGCCATGAGAATAATATGCTGGACCTCTGAAACTGTAAGGCAGCCCCAGTGAAAATGTTTTCCTTTATAAGAGTTGCCATGGTCAGCCGGCATTGGTGGCTCACGCCTATAATCCCAGCACTTGGGAGGTGGAGGCAGGGGGATTTCTGTGAGTTTGAGGCCAGCCTGGTCTACAAGAGCTAGTTCCAGGACAGGCTCCAAAGCTACACAGAGAAACCCTGTCTCCAAAAAATAAAAAAAACAAAGAGTTGCAATAGAAACCCTAACTAATATAACCCCCCTAATTTCTTTCATGTTTATTGCCATTTTCCACTTCTTATTATTCATCTTTCATGTCTTTTTATGATATGAGCTCTGTTGTATGGTCTTAGAGGATTCTGTCAGGACTGCAGTATATCTTAAACTATAACTGTATGTTTCTTTCCAGGTAATAATACTTCACACATAGTACAAGGATGTTACAGTAGTATATCTCCATTGTTACCCTGTGGGACCTTATTTAGCTTAATCGTACATTATTATTTTTTCTTTCTTTGACACAGAGTCTTGCTGTGTGACCCAGGTTGGCTTTGAACTCCCAATATGCCTGTTTCAGGCTCCTCAGTGCTGCAATTACAGGCATGCACTACCTCACCTCACCTTGCTTTTACATGTGATATAGACACTACATTATATTGGTTTTTATTGTATTTAAGTAGTAGATTATATTGTAGTGTTTTTAGAGGCTTTAAAAAATAAACACAGGCTGAAAATGGCAGTGCCTGCCTTTAATTCCAGTACTTGAGAGGCAGATCTCTGTAAGGTTGAGGCCATCCTGGTCTATACAGCAAGTTCCAGGTCAGCCAGGACTATTTCACAGAGAAATACTGTTTTGAAAACCAAAACAAACAAACAAAAAAACCCCAAAACAACAACCATACAAACACAGGTCATCTTAGAAGAACAGTAAGCACTCTGGACCACTAAGTCAGATCTCCAGCCCCAGATGTCTCTCTCTCTCTCTCTCTCTCTCTCTCTCTCTCTCTCTCTCTCTCTCTCTCTCTCTCTCTCTCTCTCAACGAGACAGGGTATCTCCATGTAACACTAGCTGTTCTGGGACTCCATATGTAGATTAGCCTAGTTAAGTTGGTACATAAAATAAAACATCATACATTGGGAAAGCTAATGGCTCATCCTCAGGAGAATGAAATCTCCAAGTCTGTGTTTGCTCTCCTGCAAAGCCTCAAAGGCATCCATGTGTGGCGCTTATGGAGCGCTTGATTCATAAGCATGAAACCTCACAGGGCATAGCATTTGCCCATTAACTTGCCATGATGGAATCACAGAGTGGACCTGCAACTGTGGGATCCACTGCTTTTTATAGAATTACACCAAACTGAGGCAAATTTCTGGATTGGTCTGATAGGTTGCCATGATAGCTTGCTCAAAACACCAAAAGAATGGGATGCCATCATTCAGGACACAGTCCATTAATGTCAATTCAGACATCTGTATATGGTGTTCTGTTATTAATAGGAAGGATCTGGCAAGCAAGGAACTATAAATAAACTGTCCTACTGACTGTTACTCCTAATGACCTAGTTGGAACTTTGTGCTTATTGTCTCTGAAGTTCTGAGTTTCTAGTCCCAAACAGTGAGGAATCTCTCTGGTTGACACTTCAAGAGTCTCACCAATGCACAGACATCTGCAGGACATGTTGGATGGATTGTGTTCAGCGACCATAGTGGGAAAAGAGATGTTACACTGTCAGAATTTATTAATCTCCATCTGCTGGTGGGAGTGAGGCTGTTTTACATGGCAGCTGCAAGTAGGAATGTGTATATAATCTAGGAGATCAACTTTGGTGCCTCCTGGTGTAGACAGATGTGTGACAAACCTAAACAGAGAAAGGTAAGGCTGTCAAGCATTCAGGCGTGCCAGGAAGGCAAGCTACACATCAGCTAAGCTGCTAATGAATGGTGAGGTAGCCTCTGAACAGGAAGGGAATTTAGCGAGTGTAGTGGGAAGGAGATGATGAATTGAAGGTTTGCAATGCCTGCCTGATGAGGGTGGACTACAGTTCATCTGGCTAGACTCCATATTGGTTGTTTCCCCCCATGAAGAAATGGAATCACAGAAACACTGTCTCCTGAGCCCACGGAGGGAAGCACATAGGTACAGCTCTAGGGGTGTCATGAGGCAGTGGTGAGAATGCCTTCTCACAGACCCCCTAAACTGCAGAGCATAACTGAGGTGTGGGGGGTGTGGGAGGGGGTACACATCTGGAGCTGAGAAGATTCTGCTGTGGGTTTGCTGTGAGGTTCCTCCTGTAGGCTACTCCTAGGCAATGACTGTGTATAATGAGATCCCTGAAGTTTGCCTATTCCTGAGACACACAAGCTTCTTTTAATGCCATCTGGTGTTTGGAGACTTGGCTGAATCTGTCTTAGCCAAGGAGAGTCTCAGGTCAGGCAGCCTGCCATATTTCCTGCCAGGGTTCTCTTCATTGTAAGCTGATGCCTGTCTCAGCCATACAAAGCAATGCGCCCACTTTGAAAACCCACATCACTAGTGTGTCGTTAACGTCATCTTAGTATCTGTTTCTCCAAGAACTTGGGTTTGCACACAGCTTTTACTGTAGGAGGAAGGAGAGTTGAGAATGGCTCTGTGGCTTCCAACTTGGCCACTAGGGTATATAATGTCAGTGGGGAAAACGGAGATGAATCTTCATCTGGGGAAAATAATTAATTAACTAATTAATTAATTAATTAATTAAATGACCAGAGGGCCCCCATGCTATGGTGATCTGTTGTGTGTACAGACCTTTCCCTCCCCACTGAGGCCTGGTCCTAATTCTTCCAGGAGTCCATTTTCTGCTTCCTCCGTGTGGATTCCCAGGATTGAAGAAGCCAGTGCCTTTACCCACTGATCTACCTTTCTGGTCCCTGGTCCTCATTCTTAAGAGCAGTGTTAGCATCCTCTAGAGCTTAAAAAGCAGATTGTCACAAAAACGTGAATGCTGATTATCATGGTGTTTCTGCCATGTCTCAATCTGCTACAACAAAATTCCACACACTGGGTGGCTTAAACAGAAGACATGTGTTTCTTTCCATTTTGGAAGCTGAGAGAGAAGGGAGAGAGAGAGAGAGACAGAGAGAGAGACAGAGACAGAGAGACAGACAGAGACAGAGAGAGAGACAGACAGAGACAGACAGAGAGACAGAGACAGAGAGATGAGATTGGTCTCTTTTACAAAGGTGTTAATCTGGCCTATATCCTGGACTCATGTCCCTGCTACTAGTATACACAATTCATCTCTCCTTTAATCTGTGTAATTATTTCACTCTAAATAAAGTTTTTTTTGCTACTTTTGCAAAAAAAAAAAAAGAGGGAGATTTAATCTGAGTCTAATTACCCCTCTCAAGTTTGATCTCCAAACCCATCACATTGAGATTAGTTAAATTTGGGTTGGGGGTGTGACATAACAGTGACCTGTAACAGTTTCTGTCAGCTGTATTGAGATACACTCAGTTCCTCGGACAGTCCCATGCCATGTGAGGGGTCTGGGTATCTCTAAGATGTTCCCACTTCTCTTGTGGAAGGATGGAATTCAATTCTGGTTCAGAAGGTTTGGCCACACAGCCTTAGAAAGTGGTGTTGGTGGGTACGAGTAGCTCACCAAGAATATTTATTTTATACCTTATCTCCCAGCAGCTGTTTTTATCTGCAAATAAATGGTAAAGGCAGGGGGTAATTGTGTATATTATCACAATAAAACAAATCAAGAACCATGCTTGATAGCTGTGCAAAGTTTTATCCACAGGGGCATGTTTGATTTAGGTATGCCCAATAAAAAAGAAAGAAAGATTAGGACCATTTTACTAGGAGTCTAAGGTAGCTTAAAATACATTGCAAGGTATGGTGGCATTAAGTCACTGACTTCTAGTTTAAAATTTGTATTTTTCAGGATTTAATGATATAACTTTTAAGCATGCATTACTTTTTAAATTATTATTATTATTTCTTCATGAGTTCCCAAGCACGATGCTACCTGTTTTTTTGCCACTCTGTGGTGAGATGAAGTCCGTGTCTAGCCACTTCCCATCTATTCACATCCAGTCAAACAAAGCCCTTTTTGGGTATTGTTTGCTCAAGGAAAGGAACTGGCCACGTGGACAAGCTATCACCTTGGATAATTTGTCTTGGGCTGCTGGTAGCTGAATGCTTTAACAAGTTTATCAGTCCCGCTTGCTTGACAAATGTGTTAAAACCCGGAACAGTGGCACTAAAGGCCAAAGCAAATAGGACGAGTGCTGCTAGCTTAAGCATTTCCTTCTCACAATAAACCTGAGTTCAAAGAGGCTACAGAAGGGCACAGTGTACTTTTTAGCTGCAATTCAAGTCAATAAACATTTACTGTTACAGATCCTTCTAGCTTTCCTGGCCTGGCACAGTGGGCCCTTTATGCAAGAAGGTGTTTCGCTCCAAACCCTGACTTTTTCTAATTGAGATTATCAAAGGATATGCATAAGTACCAAGGACTGAAAAAAGCTCCCTTCTGCCTCCATGGTTTTTCTCTCTGCTTTGCTGCGCCCTCCCTAAAAAAACTCCCAAAACCCCAACATCCAAGAAACAGTTTCATGAATAAAAATAGAAATAACCCTAGATTCAGGGATTCTCTCCTCCACATCTTGTTTATTTGGTAATTTGTAAATCTACCTGTCCAAACACCTCACCAACCAAGGCAGTTACCCAGGCTCTATAGTGTATTGGATCTGGTTTGCACTGGCTAGGTATAGCAGAGAGGAGAGCAGAAGGAAGGGAAGGAGTCTCATTGGTCCCTCCGGAAAGGGCCTTTCAGATGTCTACACCCTTGGAAGTTCCATGTGGAGTGGTTCAAATGATTCAGGAAGGCCAGGGAAGGGCATCAAGCTGTGATCCTAAACTTCCCTAGGAACCTGTGATTTGCTTTTTGGATATATCACACCAACTCACACAAGGGTAAGGGTTTTCTCCTTAAAGGTTCACTGGGATATAAATTTCATTCATAAATTAAAAAAATTACCCAGTAAGCAAGCAGCTTTATGCTTTTATGAAGGAGTCCAAATGCCATCTACATTAATTTTTTGTTTTATTTTTGAAGCAGGATCCCATGTATCTCAGGCTGGCCTAGAACTTGATATGCAGCTGAGGATGAGTTTGAACTCCCGATCCTCCTGCCTCTACCCTCCAGTGCTGGAATCCCAGGTGTACGTCACTCTGCCAGACTCCATCTTCATTAACGTTGTCTTTCCTCTTCTCCCTGGTGGGAAGTCAGGGTTGCTTCTTTAGCCACTTCATCCCCATGGTGAGCCTGCGTTAGTTATTTTCTGCACTTCTCGGGGTCCTAGTGCTCTCAGCCTGTGACAAAAGGAGGCATCACTCTACCTAGTGCTTGATGAGAAGATCTACTCACTGTGTCACTCAAGCTCACACCATGCCCCACTGAAAAGACCTCTAACTACATCACTTTTTATGCCTTGAACACTGGCTCATTTGTTTATGCCAATGTACAAGCAGCTAGTCCCAACTAGGAACAAGGAATGTATCACTCATACAAACCCAGCTCTCTAGTTAGCCTCAAGCAGGCAGCAGGACCACTAATATTCCCTCCTGTTTGTAGGAAAGAACACCCACATCTATTCAACTTTAAGGTCTCTCAAAAGATGCCAGGTTACCTTGAGCCCAGAGTTGATCAGGTGCACAGAAGAAATCCAGTTTCCAAACAGGAGCAAGTGGGGAATGAAGAGCTCATTCTGGGGATGCTCAGACAAAGAAACCCAGAAATATCAAGAAATGGGACAGCTTTAGCTCCCTTAATGTAGGACTGGATCCACAGTCTGTCCAGGAGGGTATCTCTCTGATCATACTACAGCATCCAGGGAAACCTGTTTTTGCCTAAGAAGAAACTCTGGGCTGAGGACAGGTGATTCTCTGAGCAGAGAACAGTTTCTTTCCCTCCCCTCCCTCCCTCCCTCCCTCCCTCCCTCCCTCCCTCCCTCCCTCCCTCCCTCCCTCCCTCCCTCCCTCCCTCCGTCCCTCCCTCCCTCCCTCCGTCCGTCTCTCCCTCCCTCCCTTCCTTCTTTCCTTCCTTCCTTTTGGTTTGTCTGAGACAGGGTTTCTCTGTGTATTGTGTATCACTGGCTGTCCTGGAACTCCCTCTGTTTGTAGACTAGGCAGGCCTCAAACTCAGAGATCCCTCTTGCTCTGCTCCTAAGTGCTAGGATTAAAGGTTACCACCATCTGGCCAAAGAACAGTTTTGAAGAGGCTTGTTAAATGCTCACATCAGGGGCTATGTAGTCAGACCATGGAGGGTGAAGATACCTTGGGGAAACCCACATTAGTTGAGGGTGATCGAGCTGACTTTGTGAGAGTAAGAGGAGGCTCCTACCCTACAATGGTACATCAAGGCAAACAAAACAAAACAAAACAAAAACACCCAAAAAACCCCTCCTGCAGTCATCGTAGCTGACACTGGGGACATCCATTTTCATTGTAGATCCCTGGACCTTTGGGCTTCTGGGGTTTGTCCACTGATTTGATGGTGCTTTCCTTCCTTTTCATCAAACCTCTTAATCATGATTGCAAAGGAGAAATCTGGGTCAGTTTACAGATTGTCTGGTAAATAACCTTTCACAAGACTCTGCCCATGCCTTTGATTCAAGCTAAACTGAACAGGTGTGTGATGGCACCAGCATCATGCTTTCATATGGATCCCTCCCCCATTCCCAAACAGGCTTGCCAAGCTTGTGGGTCATCCGAAACATCTGTGAACTCCTGTTTTCCCCATATACCTACATTCAGGGGGAAGGGGGAGGAGCTTAGTGAAGGAAGGGAGGAGCTTTCTGGGGAGTTCTTAGATTTATTCTTAATCTTCTGCCAATGATTTACTTTCCTCTGTGTGGTTGAATTGGAAGACTGGTCAGTGAATTATCAGAATGTACACAGGGAAAATGTGTTCTCACTTCTAAGGCCTCAGATACTGGTGAGCTGCAAGTCTCTGGCTGGAAAGTAAGTTCTGGGCTCCTGGATTTGAATTTTCTGAAAGAGTCATGTAGAAAGCAAAACATGGGCCTTTCAGGAATTGAGATCCCTACTCTCCTGGAGTCAGCTTGAGTTCAAGCTACCTTTTGCAGGGAGGGAACCCCTGAGGCGATAACGTGGACTTTGGTGGTAACTGATTCAGGTTAGAATTATAGCTCCAATGCCACAATCTATGTTCAGTTGTAACTCTCTTTTAGTTTAGACCTTTGGTTAATTTTCTTCTGAATTCTGTTAATTTTTGAACACTTTATAATCAATTTTCTCCATCTGTGGTCATAGTTGGGAAACTGGTGACACTTCAACCTCTTCTAATATTTGTATTAGTGATTTTTTTCTTTTGTTTCATTGACTTGGTTAGAATTGCTAGAATAATATTGACTAGCAAAAATGATGATGAGCATTTTATCGCAGTCAAGCTTTATTGGAATGTTTTGTGTGGAGAATGCTAATTGCTATATATTATTATCTATGTATTATCATTAATATTATCTTTCTATTATCATCTATCTATTTACATCTATATACTACCTATGTGTTATCGTTTATGTGTTATTCTGGCAGGTATTGTGTATCAGACTGATGTTTTCTTGTAATTTTTAAAAAAAAAACATGAACGTGAGTAAAAATTTCCCTCATTCTTGACATCTATTGAGTTGGAATAATGAGATGACTGCTTTCATTTTCTTCTATTAAGATGATTTGTGCATTAATAGTGTATACATGCATATATATTAAATTGTCTTCCTATATAAACCCAAATCTAAGATGAATTTTTTTAATACTGTCAGTCTTGACTTGATTATATCTCACTTGAGACTTCTTTCATCTTAGTCAATAAGCAATGTCTTACTCATTTTCTTGCCTGTTGTTTCTATTAGGATCACCAGGGTGAATTCTGATGAACTTTGTCGCTTGAAGGACAGGCTGGAGAGCTGGAGGACATGCTGAAGGAAATCCATCTCTCCCTGTCTCTGGTCCTGGTGTTTGCCTGCGGCCTGTTGTACCAGCTCACCCTGAGGTCTCACTGCTTCTTTGCCTGCCTGCCTCTCTTCACATCTCCACAGGGGCCGGAAGGCCTCTTGAGAAGTGGACGAAGCATCGTGTTCATAGAGACTTCTGAAAGAGTGGAGCCGTCTCCACTGGTCACCTGTGCTGTGGAGTCTGCTGCCAACATCTACCCGGAGCAGCCAATCATCTTCTTTATGAAATGGCTCAGCAATGCCACACGGCTGACCCCAAACACCAGCTCCCCAGCCTTCTCCCTGCTCTCAGCCATGGACAATGTTTTCTTTGTCCCTTTGGACATGAGAAAGCTGTTTGCAGACACACCCTTGTTTTCATGGTACACCAAAGTAAGTGTTCAAAGCCTCGAGAAAATCTGTGTTGGGAGGGAGAAACGGAACCTGCAAGGAAATGGGCCAATATACTTACTGTAGACAGGCAAACTGAGGACAGGGGCTCAGGAAAGAGTCTAGTCTGGCACTCAGACTAATGGGTTGGACTACTGATTCAGGTAAGTGGCAGACATGTCAATTAAGTGATTGTGCTGGTTTCCTTTTTGTTGAGGCTTGTTTCTTTGAGTCTTCTTGGTGTTTTGGAGGCTCTTCCTCTTTATAAAAATAATTTTATTTAAATTAAAAACAATCTTATTTTATGTACTAAATCCCAGTTCCCTTTCCCTCCCGCCCTCCCATTTCCCCCCACCATACCCCCATCTTACTCCCCCATCCACTTCTCAGGGAGGGTAAGGCCTCCCATGGGGGATCATCAAAGTCTGTGATATCATTTGGGGCAGGACCCAGGCCCTCTTCCCATGTATCTAGGCTGAGAGAGTATCCCTCTATGGGGAATGGGCTCCCAAAGCCCATTCACACACTAGGGATACATACTGGTTTGGAGGCTCTTCTTAACTGAACGAATTTCTTTATCTTTTCTAGGTACATGGAGCACTTATTTTTCCTTATAATTTAAACCTTTTCAACACCAGAGGTGGAAACCAAGTGATATTTAAATGAAAGTGATGTAGGTCAGGAATTCAGCAAAAATCAGTAGCATACTGCTCCATGAGAAAGATACGATCAAGAAGCACCAGAACTCCTAGGAATCCAATAATCCTCCTCTTAGCAGTATATTGTAATAGGGAAACAATGTTTCAATTGGTCTCATCGAGGATGCACAGCTGGGTAGTGCTTAGAGTGCAGTTACTCAAGGATTCCATTAGGTAGTGCTTAACTGAGCTTTTTTTTTTTTAATTTTAACTGACATCTTATGGGAAGGTGAAATGAAATCCTTCTTGCCATTATAATGCAATTATAATGGTTTCAGTTATGCAACTATCTCCAGAGCTAAGAAGTGAGGAAGCCTTCATGGGGCACACACCAGAAATCCTACTACTTGGGAGGTAGAGGTAGGGAGATCAGAAATTTAAAATCATCGTTGGTTTCATAGCAACTTGTAGGCCAGCCTGGGCTACTTGAGACTTTTGTCTCAAAAAATGAAAATTTCTTAAAACCAAAGACAAATCAAGCCCTTCCAACAAACAAACAAACAAACAAACAAAGGAAAACTAAAGAAACCAAACAACTATTACAGCAGATGTTTGAATATGATTGAAATAGAAGTGACTTTCAAAAATGTTGATTTTTATAAAGAAAATTATTCTTTTTTATTTTTTGGGACAGTGTTTCTCTGTTTAAGATCTCTGGCTGTCCTGGAACTCACTTTATAGGCCAAACTGGCCTTGAACTCACAGAAATCCGTCTACCTCTTCCCTCTGAATGCTGGGACTAAAGGCATGTGCCACCACATCCTGGTTAAGAAAATTATTATTATTATTTTGTTTGATTTTTTTCAAGACAGGGTTTCTCTGTGTAACAGCCCTAGCTGTCCTGGAGCTAGCTCTGTAGACCAGGCTGGCCTCTAACTCACAGAGATCTGCTTACTGAGTGCTGGGATTAAAGGCATGTGTCATTACTACCCATCTTAAAAAATTATTATTTTTTCTTTTTTTTTGATTTTTCGAGACAGGGTTTCTATGTGGCTTTGGAGGCTGTCCTGGAACTCACACTTGTAGAGCAGGCTGGTCTCAAACTGACAGAGATCCGCCTGCCTCTGCCTCCCAAGTGCTGGGATTAAAGGCATGTACCACCAACGCCCAGCTTAAAAAACTATTTTTAAAAGCAGAAATAATTTGGGCTGGGCGGTGGTGGCACACACCTTTAACCCCAGCACTCGGGAGGCAGAGGCAGGTGGATCTCTGTGAGTTCGAGGCTGGGCTGGTTCGACAGCCTCCAAAACAATACAGAGAAACCCTGTCTCGTAAAACCAAAAAAAAAAAAAAAAAAACCAGAAATAATTTAAAAGTTAGTGTTATAGCATACGAAGTTCAGCCTAAATTCTTATTTACCCTGGACCAAATGTCAGTGAATATTTAAGCTTTGTAGGCCAAGTAGCAAAAGAGAAGTGTTAGTTTACCAGGGCTCCTTTAACAAATGACCTCAGACTTGGTGACTGACAGCAACAGAAATTTATGCTGTCAGCTCTGAAAGCCAGTCACAGCAGGGGCTGTAGGTAAGACTGTGCTTTGTTTCTTTTTCTTTCTTTCTTTCTTTCTTTCTTTCTTTCTTTCTTTCTTTCTTTCTTTCTTTCTTTCTTTCTTTTTTTGGGGGGGGGTTCGAGACAGGGTTTCTCTGTATTGTTTTGGAGGCTGTCCTGGAACTCGCTCTGTAGACCAGGCTGACCTCGAACTCACAAAGATCCGTCTACCTCTGCCTCCCGAGTGCTGGAATTAAAGGCGTGCACCACCAATGCCTGCTTGTTCTTTGTTTCTTAACAGCTTCTGGTGGCCAAGTGGTTCCTTGGCCTGTTGCCCATCAGTCTACTTGCTGCCTCCTTTAAATCCCCTTTACCTCTGTGTGTATTCAGTCCCTGTCAACCTCACTCTTTAAATTACATCTGTGATATTTTTAAGGACTCATCAGTGTAATCTAGGATCATCATCCCATTTCATTATCCTTGACTTAATCACAACTGCAAACGTCCTCTCCCCATATTTACAGGTTCCCAAGAATTAGGACCTGACATCTTTGGGAGGTCATTATTTAGTCTACTATAGCATGTTCATAAAAAGAGAAGAAGTCCCTCCCCTCTCCTCCCCTCTCCTTCCCTCCCCTCCCCTCCCTGCCTTGCCCTGCCTCATTTGTGGGATTCTGGTGTGTTGGTGTGTGGTTGACAGGTTTGACTCTGGTTGCTATCATTTGGAAACATTTGTCAGACTAAGTTGCAACCCTGAGGGGACTCTTCGAGTAGGCTGGCAGGGACTGGGATTGAGGGCAGCTTCTTGGGTCAGCATCACTTTGCATTCCAGTGACTTTTAGATGCCAAAGTACCTTCTGTTATAAGAGCCTAGAAGTATCAAATTGCCACTGGCCAGGAGGAAGTGGATCAATTCAAATATATTAAGTGTCCATATGTTAGTCTTGGCAGTTGCCAGCAGCTGGGTTCCTGGAAAGTGGGTGTCACTGTAACAGGCCAGGAAGGCAGGTACAAGGAGATGAGGGGACAGACAGCTTTGTCCATGCCTCTAAGGATGACCCAGGACTGCACAACTTTTCCCATACCTGAGCTAGACTGTTCTTATCTAAATTGTGCTTTGCTCCTTGGAAAAAGAAATATCAAAGCAAGTTATTTTGGGAGATGCTGCACACTACATCTTTTTCTCACAGATGAATCACTCATCTGTAAGAAGATTAAAACCTCATTATAGTTCTGAGCTCAGTAAACTTTAGTCCTATTTGGAACTCTCTTTCAGTGATTGACAAATAATCTCTTGGAACTAAAATAATTTGGAACAAAGCTTGGGTTGTGCTAGGATGGACCTAGATTTTTACATGTTAGATTTTAGGAGCAAGGTGGGCCCTGAGATACAGAGTCCTTAAGTGCCTGCTCCCTCTGGGTCTGTAGGGTTCTGTGCTGGGGTGTGTAACTACAGCATTCATACTGTGAGAGAACTGGCCCATGATATGTTCTGTCCCAGCTGGACCTGCACAGGGGGTAGATGGGGGCACCTGTTGGAGAGGATCCATTGTACTATCATTTCCTAAGGACCACTGGGTTTGCGGTATGAACCCTACACGTAGTTGTAGCTCTTGATGTCCAGAACCAGCACGGGCATGGTTCTCAGTCCTCCTCTTCCCACTCTCCCCATCTCAGGAGGATGGCAGGCTAATGCTCACATCCAGGCTGGGTTCCTCGTCTGCTTTTCTAAGGCTTTTGGTGTTCTGTGTCTCTTAGTTCAGTCACAACCTGTAAGTTCCCAGGTTACACTGATTTTTATCAAAATGTAGTTTCCTTTGAGTGAGTGAATGTCTGAAGACGGACAAGGATGGAGCATCTTGACTCTTCCGTTTCTCATGTGAAAGGCAGAATGAGCATGCGCCTCATTTTTGAGGACTTGTGCGGGTTAGAAAGTGCTCAGAATGGCTGTCCATATGTGCTAGCTATTAACTGTCCCTGAGGTTTCAGGACTTGTAAATGATGGATGATTTTCAGCACCTGTGACTTTTTTTTTAAACAAAGCTTTTGTTAACTTGCTTGTGTTCTTCATAGTAGAATTTTAACAACTCATTTTTTTGGTCAAAACCAAAGATCTTTGATTAATCTTTTACTCAATATATTTAAATTCAGAAAAACTAATTTGTTTTTTTTATTTAAAATCTTAACCATTCCAAAAGGGAACACTATGATTTATACTGATTTATTTCATTCTGCTGGGTTCCTCTTCTGTTTTGCTTGCATTTTTGCATTTAGCCATTCTTTCCTACCCACCTACCCATGAGTGAAGGCTGACCTGTTTTTATCTGGAATATGGACCCTGATCTCTTCTCTCACCCCATCAGAGTATCATCCAAGTCTGGGTTATCTCAACAAGCTCCTAGACTGCTTCTTTATCTCTGTCCCCATCAGTACCCGCCATTGCCCTAGATTCTTGTCCACACAGCAGCCAGTGAGCCTTGGAAACCCCATTCAGATTACATCACTCCCTTCTGCTCAACCTTCCAAATCGTTTCAAATCTTGATGCCGTTCTACATGATCTTTCCCTTTCCTGTTCTTTGTTCTCATTGCCCCTCTCCCTCCTCCACTCTGCTTCTGCCTCATAGCCAATATGCTTCTGCCTTGGGGTCCTTTGCACTTGCTGACTGCTCCAATGTAGCGTTTGCTCCCAGATGTTTTCGCGGTGCACCCATCTACTGCATTCAAGTTTCTGCTTGATGTAACATAGTGCCCTCTCTCACCCCTTTACAGTCCCCTCACATGATATTTTATCCCTTCATAGTCCTTATCAACACCCAAGTGGGGATTTTTCTTGCTTGTTCATTGCTATGCTTTTAGCAACTTCACAGTGCTTGGTGCAGAGTAAGTAGGTCCTCAGTGAACTCCATTTGAGGAGCTTCCAAGCAAACGAAGGTATGCATTCATGCAGTCTCAGGCTTTTTCTTTCCCCCAATTTCTCAACTGGTGTATTGTTTCGTTTTGTTTTGTTTTGAGTTTCCTAGCTTTTTAACATTTTTTTAAATTACCAATCTTCAACCTTTAAAAGTGATCTACAAAGCTACATGGAGAAGCCCCATCTCGACCCACCCCCCAAATCCATCCTTCACAGTTTCCTATTTGTGGTTATCGTCATCCACATGGAAGATTGACTTACACTGCCCATTGCGAAATTGCTGCTGAATTTTGCCTCCATCTTTTCATTGCTTTGACGAAAGAAAGCCCATTAAAAAATCTTCAATAACTGCGAAAGGTCTTCTTTTATTTTAAGTTTTAAAAATACTAATTGCAGCAAACTCTTTACTTCATGGAAAATTAGAGAGGTTGGGGAAATCTACCTTGTTGTGGTCCTTCCTGGCCACTCTAACTCCTTGCGGGCTCATTTGTACCTGTTCCCATAGGTCAACAGCAGTGCTGAGAAACACTGGCTCCACGTCAGCTCAGACGCTTCACGCCTGGCTATCATCTGGAAATACGGTGGCATCTACATGGATACCGATGTCATCTCCATCAGGCCCATCCCCGAGGAGAACTTCTTGGCAGCCGAGGGTTCCCGGCACTCCAGCAATGGGGTATTTGGGTTCCTCCCCCACCATCCCTTTCTGTGGGCCTGCATGGAGAACTTTGTTGAGCATTACAACTCAGGCATCTGGGGCAACCAAGGTCCTCGTTTGATGACCAGGATGTTAAGGGTGTGGTGCAGACTTCAAGACTTCCAAGAGCGGGGTGACCTGAAGTGTCTGAATATTTCCTTCCTTCATCCCCAGAGATTCTACCCTATCCCCTATCTACATTGGAGGCGCTATTACGAAGTGTGGGACTCGGAGCCGAACTTCAATGACTCCTACGCGCTGCACTTGTGGAACTTCATGAATAAAGAGGGCAGGACTGTGGTTAGAGGAAGCAACACCCTGGTGGAAAATCTCTATAGAAAGCACTGTCCTAAAACTTACAAGGCTCTGATTCAAGATGTAAACGGGACAGTGTCCAGGGAGCCAGGTACAGGCAGCAGATAGAGGAAGGGCTACTGCTCACGTAGGGGAACTGGACCCTTCTGGGCTGCAGCATTCTCACTTGGTCTCAATAGTTTCTAGGGGCTAGGAGCTAATCCACACCTCCAGGATTAACTTTCTCTGGTAATGGCAGCATACTTCCAAAGAAAAGTGGCTATAAACATAGACGTTTATTTATCCTTCGTGCAACAGCAAGTCCGAAGGCAGACAATTTAGGACAGGTATACTAACAGTGAGGATCGGAGGCTCAGGCTTGAATCTTTCTGTTTGTTGTCCTAGTGTTTGTAGTCCACGCTCAAGTGGCTGCTGGACCTCCAGTCCATCATCTAGTTATTCCAGACACTAGCATGGCAGAAGGAGGAAAGAAAATGCATTTCATTCCATAAAAACTTTATGCAAGTACTGTGTAAGTGCAAATACCATGTGTCTATGCAACTCCCTGGCTAGACTGTAGCTGCAAGAGAGGCCGATAGGTAGCTAATAGGTCTGCTAGCACCCATCAGAATGAAAGGGACATGGCTGTTGTTGTTTTGATTTTTGAGACAGAGTCTCTCTATGCAGTCCTGGCTGTCCTGGAACTCACTATATAGATTAGGACACTATCCAACTCACAGAGATCTACTTGCCTCTGCCTTCTAGGTGCTGGGATTAAAGACATGTGGCATCATACCCAGTCCTTGATTTTTAACATCTGTATTAATCCACTTTCTGCCACTATAACAAAATACTGGAACTGTGAAATTTATTAAGAGCAGTGATTTATTTATCTCATAGATTTGGAGGCTGAAATCTTGACTCAGATGACTCTGTCTGTTTGGCCTCTAGTGAAACCCTGATGGAGGGTGGCGTCATAGTGACAGGACACATGTAGAAGAGATCACATGGTGAGTCAGGAAGACAGAAGAGTGTAGGATCCAGGTCCTTTGCAACCCACCCCTGTGGGAGGGGTCAGAGGAAGGTTTTTCTGTGCGTCCCAGACTCACCTCAAACTCTCAGTCCTTTCTCCTAAGCCTCAGAGGGCTGGGATCACCCTGACCGGCTCAGGCTTCCTCTTTTTGTAAGAACTAGCTGGAACTCCATAAAAAGTACATTGATTCCTTCTGATAATGGAACCCTCCCATGACCTCATTGCATGCACCCTACTTCTCAAATGTTCAAGTACCTCTCAACATTGTCACGCTGGAGACTGAGGTTAAAACACATGAGCCCACATGTAAACGACAGAAGTGTTCACTAATCTATTAAGTCAGTAGATATTAATTGATCTTCCTGGGAACTAAACACTAATTTAGGGGCTACAGATGCTGGGGAACCACTCAGTGTTGGTCCCAGCACATGTATCCTAATTACTGGCCACTTATCCTCAGGATAGTCTCCTCCCATCCCCAGCCCATTCCCCATACTGTCCCTTTCCAATGCACACATTTACCCTACCCCAGCTGTTGCTTAAGAGCAAATGATAAACTCAAGCTATTTAAAGCTGCTTCCTCCATAGATTCAGATGAAAACTGACTCCTTCCAAGCATCATGTTGTACACCATAAACACATGTAATTTTCACTTTTCAATTAAAATACAAATAAATTCACATCTACTTCTCAGGAGGCATGAAAATTAATATATTTTTTTCTGTTTGCAGTTATCAGTCAAGGGTTTCTAGAACTTTTCATGGTTGTTTGCCTTATAGAAAAATTTACATTTTTCCACACACAAAATTATGATGTCTTACAAAACTCTACATTCATCTGTTGTCTTTCATTCTTAACTTTCCCTCTTCAAGAATCATGGCTCTGGTAGTCTTATGAAAAAAATTTGGTGAGATAGCTCACTGGGCAAAGGTACTTGCTGCTAAACCTGATGACCTGAATATGAGCCTTGGAACCCATGTGGAAGACAGAGAGAAACAACTCCTGCAAGTTGACCTCTGACCTCCACATGTGCTATGGTGCACATGTGCATACACACCACACACACACACACACACACAATGTAAAGAAACCAAACAGTCCAAAACATTTACAAGTCCTGAGTCCTGCCTTGGGTTTATGTACTCCACTACTTGCTGGATTCTTTGATATGTTACTCCCCAGTCAGACTGTGTGTCCATCCCCTCCATGATGTTGCCCTCTTTGTGTCCCTGAGACAGTGAGCACTGGTGTTCAGTGTTTCACAGATAAAAATTCCTCTGTTAGCCCTGTTGGGAAGGAGCAGGTTGGTTCTTATTGCTGTAGCTGAAGAATGCTCTCCATCCCTGAACACAAAAGTTTGAAGGACTCAAGTGAAAACACTTTAAACTTCTCAAAAATTATGTTTCCATTGGGAACAAATACGTCAACAGCAATGTCTTATATATTTCCTTATGGGTTGTACTTGGTATGGGTTTTTTGAGGCAATAATGATAATTTCATGTTTCAAGTTTTGTTTTGTTTTGTAGTAAAATGAGTTTGTGATTATAAGTGTGGAAAATCAATTAACTTATGTAAGGAGTACTATCTGTATGGTGGAAAGAGTGAATTTAAAACACTTATAGTGGGTCTGAGGAAAATAGATCAATGCAATTTCCTTCTTCCTTTTGGAAAGGTTGATTGTTACCCATGTTTAACTGGATTTATACTTTATTATTCTATGCAGTATGTAATAGCATGTAATAGGATTTTTTAATGTTGGAATATTTTTCTATTTTTATTGATTTGTATCCTCTCCTCTGTATGTGAAAAACACCAACTTTTTGTATTTTTTACAAAATTTTCAATCTGTAATTTTTGAGTTTTACTATCTAAATTAAAAATATTTCACATATGAATATGATGCATTTATATTATTATCTACCCTCTGGTGTATACTCATGTCTTCTTCCTCCTCCTCCTCTTCCTTTTCTACTCAGGGAGTCAGACTGGTGCTTCCTGGATGTACATGACTGTAGAGCACCATCCACTGAACCATGGGCAACCCACCACAGGCCATACTGCTGAAGAAAGTTGGCTCTCCCTATCCCAGCATTCACCAACCGACAGTAGCTCCTCAGATAAAGCTGGGACCTCATGAGTCCCTTCCTCCTTCCACTGGAGTGTTGACTAGGTGGATCTTATGCAATCTTGGACCAGCAACTGTAGATCCTGTGGACTCATGAGTTCTTTGGTCTCTTATGTCCAGGGGACATCAGTTCATAGCAATGTTTCCTGGCCTCTGGCTCTTAACATCTTTCCATCCCCTCTTCTGTGATGTTCCCTGGGCCGTGGGGGTAAGATATATGCCACATTTAGGAATGGGCATCTAACAATCTCTTATTTTCTGTATTTGACTATCTTTGAGTCTTTGTATTAACTGCCATCTGCATAAGAAATTTATCTGATGAAAAGTCTATGGATATACATGCCTTTAATACTAGCACTCAGGAGGCAGAGGTAGGTAGATCTCTATGAGGTTGTAGGGCAGCTTTCCTGGTCTACATAGAGATTTTCAGGTCATCTAGGGCTACATAGTAAGACCCTATCTTAAAAAAAAGAACTAAAAAGGAATTTATTTAAAAGACAGTTTGATACTATGATCCTTTATCAAAGTAACAATACTTGTAGGGCATGACTTCTTTTTAACCAAGTTTGCAGTGCTAGACATAAGTTCCCTCCTCTGGAGTGTACATTTAGGTACACTAAGCAGCCTAAGTTTAGTTGAAAAGTTGTTGGCTACCTCCCTAACACAAATGCACACACAGGTACCTTTGGCTACTTTCTGTAATCTTTGAGGGTTACAGTGAGAAGACATCTGAGAAGCCAATATCCAGGAATGCTCAGTGCGAGCCCAGAAAGACGTACTCTGAGCAAAGCCTAGAGATATTTTAGCTAACTTGGTACTAATTTACAATCCTGCTAGTTAGGATTTATTTTTCCTACTTTACAGCTAAGAAAAGTGAAGGTCAGAGAGGTTACAGTGACTTTCTTGGAGCTGCAGAGTTTGGGAATGAGTAGTATGGATTTGTCCTTGTTTTTAAAACCTAGACACTTTGCTCTCAGCTAGAAGGAAGAGCAAGATTTCCTATCAGAGCATGTAACTTATAGATATTATTTGTTCCTTGTCTCTGATCGCCATTTCCCCCCTAACACTTAAAAATTTGTGGTGAGATCCCTCTCTCTGTATCTATAATATTATAAAGTTTGCTATTTTAGGCATTTTTATTGGAAAATTCAGGACATTAAGTGTTCATTTTGTCATGCAAGTATCACTGCTGGCATGCATGGAAGTTGCTCACCATTCCCCAGCTGGAATCTGTACTCATCAACAGCAACTCCTTAGTCCCCATCTTTATAGACCTGGGCAACCACTCTCCTACTTTCTGTCTCTAAGAATTTGACTGTTTTTGATCATGCCTTGTGGGTTTGAATGAAAATGACCCCCACAGGTCTATAGGGAATGACGCTATTAGGAAGTGTGTGTGTATGTGTGTCTTGTTGAAGTAGGTGTGGCCTTGTTGGAGGAAGTATGCCACTGAGGGTGGGCTTTGAGGTTTCAGAAGCTCAAGCCAGACCCAGTGTCACTTTCTGTTCCTGCTGCTTGACAATCTGGATATAGAACTCTCATCTACCTTTCCAGCCCCATGTCTGCCTGCAATGCTGCCACACTTCCCAACATGATGACAATGAACTAAACTTCTGTCTGAACTGTAAGTCAGCCCCAATTAAATATCTTCCTTTATAAGAGTTGCTGTGGTCATGGTGCGTTGAGATAACTATCACAGTAATAGAAACCCTAAGACACCCTGTAAATAGAATCACACAACTCTTTCCTTTTATGACTAGCTTGTTTACTTTGCATATCTGTTAGTTTTTGGTCAATGTAAGATCAGTATGTAAAAAGAATAAGGTTTATTTTGGCTCCCAGTTCTGGAGATTTCAATAGGGGCAGAACAGTTTGTCCCATTGCTTAGGCTTGTGGCCATACATTACAGCAGAGTGAAATCTCTCACCCCACGACAGGAAAGCAGAAACTGGGGTCTCACTATCACGTTCAAGGCCTCTACCTAATACCTTGAAGTCTGCCATCTAGGTTCCATCATTTAAATATTCCGCCAACTATCAATAGGACCATTCTAGGGACCTTGGGGGAAACCTAACCAAACAACAGCAGTGATGTTATTGTGAATGGAGACTCCAGGAAGTGCTTGGACCATGAGAGCAGAGTCCTCACAGATGGGTTCAGTGCCCTAATAGAGGACTCTCCAGCACATGACTAGACCCTTCCATGGGTGCTCAGCAAAGAGGGAATCTGCTCTTGCCTTGATCTTAGACTTCCAAGCTTCCAGAAGCCATAGGAATGAGTTCCTGTCCCATCTGTAGTCATCCAAATGGACAAAGATGAAGCTGATTCAGGTTATAGCATGTTATAACACATGCTGGTACTTCCTTTCTCTCTAAGGATGAATGATATTCCATTATATGTATAAACCATGTGTTACCCAACTAGCTGTCAATGGGCACTTGGATTGTTTCCATATTTTGGCTGTTGTGAATAATGCTATTATTTTATTTTACGTGTGTGTGTGTGTGTGTGTGTGTGTGTGTGCTCAAATGTCAGAAAACAACTTTCAGGAGTTGTTTCTTTCCTTCCACTATGTGGGTTACAGGAATTCAACTCAGGATATCAGACTTGGTGACAAAGTCCATTACCTGACGAGCCATCTTGCCAGTCAAATAGTGCTATTTTAAACACTAGTGTGCCATGACCACGGCAACTATTACAAAAGATTGCATTTAATTGGGGGATTAATAATTTCAGAGGCTTAGTCCACTATCACAGAGGGTATGGCAGAAAGCATCTTGATGGTGAAGCAGCTGAGAGATCCATCCTGATCTGCAAGCAGAGAGAGAGACTGGGTCTGTCAAGGGCTTTTTGAAACTTCAGAGCCCACCCCCGAGTGACATACTTCCTCCAACCAGGCCACACCTCCCAATCCTTCCAAACAGCGTCACACCCTGGTGACACTCAAATATATGAGCCTATGGCAACCATTCTAATTCAAGACACCACAACATGACAATTGCTGAATGATACGGCGACCCAAAGCAACTTCTCAGCGACCCAAAGCAACTTCCCAGCGGAGTCACCATTTTGTTTTCCACAGCAGCAATACCATTTTCATCACAGAGAAATCTGAGTTTTTCCCCCACCCTTGCCAACACTTATTTCCAGTACTTTCGTCCTTGCGGTCCCAAGATGCGGAGCTTGGCATATTAAAGCTGTGGTGAGAGGAAGGCCCTAAGATACAACAAAACCACCCAGAACTGAAAAGTAATGAGACCCAACGAGAAGGTAGCAGGACCCAAATCAGGAGAGAGAAAGTGATTCCCTCCAGCTCCTGCCCCAGCTTTCCGGGATCCGGGTGATTGCCATCTGATCAGACTGAACACTCTGAAGTGTCTCCTAATGTGGGCCTTGGCCAAATCTCTTTAGTTTGTCAGGCTTGCAGAGCTACCCGCGGAGGGTGAGAGGCCGCAGCAGCTGGCCCATTTACCTTGGGACAGTGGCTGCATCCTGCCATTGGTGAGACATGGAAGCGAAAGGAGGGCAACAAGGGAGACCGGCCTGCAGTTCATCAAGGCCTGGGAACTTGGATGCTGGATTTTCTTAACTGAGTCAAAGAGGCATTCCCTCCTTTCCCCACATCCCCTACAGCTCTAAAAATAGCTGTTCCGGGGAGCTGGGGATAGGCTCCGCCTCTGCTGTGGGTGGGAGGCACCGCAGACCCCGGGCCCCGAGCTGTTGGCGGGGAGAGGCTTGCAGGATCCCTGCACTCAGCTGGTAGTGTCCGCGTGGCTGGCAGCATCCTCCGGCTGCATTGCAGGAGATGGGGTGAGTCTGGATCCGCTGGTGGGGTGAGTGAGGACGTGGCACCTTCCCCATACCTCCTGCTCCCCTCTGCTTCGGTGACCCCCCAGGGTGAACCAGGCCTCCCCGGAAAAATATGCCTGGAATCCAGCCGGGAGCCGCCGGACAGAGCGAGGTTCCAGGCAGAGCTACTCGGCTGCTGCGCGCGCAGGTTAAACATTAGTGGCTGGGTCACCCAGCCAGAACCCGAGCTGCGTGGCCGAGGGCACCTCACGATGTCCCGCTCCCTGTGCTTCCATCCCAGCGGCCTCGGATTGTTCTGGACTGAGGTGCCCTGACGGCGAAGGACTCGCATGCTCGGGGGAGGCGCGGAACAGGATGACTGACACCCAACTCATCCCCATCCCCCACCCCGTCTGCTTTGGGAGGGTGGTCTTGGGAATGGAGTTTTTGAAAACAATAAAGTGATCTGAGGGGCTGACATCTGAGTCCTTAGAGAAGGCGCTGGGGGTCGGTTTCTAACAAGATGAATTTTGAGCAAACATTGGCATCTCTAGTTCCTCCGCTTCCGGTCCCGGGCTGAAGTTTAGCAGGAGCACAGCATTAGAGATCAGAAGTGAATGTGGTTGGAAGTCCACGGGAAGACTGGGTGGGTACAGGGAAGAGTGTACGAGCCAGGAGCAGAGGACGGGGCCTGGGTAGGACTGCCTTTACAAAGGATCCTGAAGGGCCCAGGGCCTGTGCTGTCCTGGCCCTGTCTCCAGGAATTAGGCCAGGCCTAGTGAGTGTGAGATGGTCTAACCCTGCCTCCTCCATCTGCCTGTGAGCAAGTGCTGTGTCTCTTGAGAGAAAGATGGTTACAACCTCCCCCTTCCTTGCCCAAGGTGTGGACAGGCAGGTGAAAACTAGCACCAAACCCCGGCGATCATCTCCCTGGCCATCCCCCTGCTGTGTCTCAGGTTGGGAGCAGAAGAACCTCTTGCGCAGCCCCCGGAGAGCCGAACTTTTGTCAGAAGGTTCACCGTGCTACCTGGAACCCCAAGCGGAGAAGGGGAGCACTTGGTAGGCAGTTGGTAATGTCCCATGGCCACTTTGCAGAAAGGGGCAGTTGTGGCCAACCAAGGCTGACCAACCACTTGCCTCTCACCAGGCCTGGGAAGTCTAGTGAGGGGTCTGGCCCAGACTAAAGATGGGGAGTTCTGCTAGGAGGCAACAACACTTTAATAGACATGAAACACTGGAACAGTCTGCCTGTCTGTTTTCTTAACGATGGGAAGCAGCTTTTGTTTGTTCTTGACACTTCTGTCATGCCAGTCCTATTCCTCTTCTCTGAGATATTCCCAAGAGGCACTGGTTAAGGCTCTGCCTCCATTTTTAGAAAAAAAATCTTTTGTGTGTGTGACAAAAATTCACCATAAGCTTTTATAAATATTTTTATTTCTTTGAGAATTTCCTGCTCGTATTCTGATCATACTCCTCCACCCTCTCCACCCTCACTTCCCCCCACTCAATGTTGAGAACCCCCCTCCCCAAGTCCAGTTGTCTCACTACTCTTGGGAGTAGGGCCTGCCCTGGAGTTTGGTTGACCTGACAGGGGTCACGTAAGTGCTCTTCTGGTACTGTCTTTAAAAAGTGTCTCCACGGAGCTGGAGACATAGCTTGGTGGGAGAGCTCATGGTTAGCATGTTCAAGGCCCTGCATTGGGTCCCTACCAGCACACCCACAGCAACAAGCAGATAAGAGGAAATCACTGTAAAGTTGCTGGGCAGAGCGGGGATCTTGGTGCCTCTGGGAGTGAATCTCTCTTTTGCTGCTTGGAAGTTCTAAGAGTGGATGCAGCCCCTAGGCTACTTCTTAATTTTTAAGAAAATGTTTATGTAATAAAACAAGACACTCTTAAGATCTAGATTAGGGTCTGTGATAGTGTTCAGCAGTCCCAGATCCTCCCCCCCCCCCCATTTCCATCAGGGGCTCCAGCACTCCCTTGCCTCTGGTGTGTGGAGAGCCTGTTTGCAAACTGTGGGAAGGTTTCCTTGGCAGCCATGACAATTAGCGCTAATGACAAGCCTGGAGCTCCCCAGGGCAGGCACTGTGAAGTTAGCTTGGAAGCCAGGGCAAGTTTGTAAATGATTGCCTGCAGGCCCTTAGAAGCCTGGCACTTCCCGAACTTTCCTCTTGGTTTCATTTTTGAGGAAGAAAAAGAGACAGTGAGATGTGTAGATGCAATTTAAATGAAAAAAGAATTAGATGTTTGGGCAATTTTGTGAATATTATCTTTGGCAGAGCCAAACAGCCTCCAGGATTTGTTTTCTCCTCACGGGACCACTGACTTGGGAGGTAGTAAACACTGCCACAAATTTTCTCTTTTTCTTTTTCTTTTTCTCTTTTCTCCTTTCTCTCTCTCTCTCTCTCTCTCTCTCTCTCTCTCTCTCTCTCTCTCTCTCTCTCTTCCTCCTTCCTTCCTTCCCTCCCTCCCTCCCTCTCCCCCCCTCCATTGAGTGTGGAATTGCTGCAGGGGGAAATGAACATTCTCACGGTGGAGCAAGCTTGAAATACTAGCATAAGCCTCCACTTGGATTATTGGCTCATGAGAGTGAAGTAGGATTGGGGAGTTTCCCTGAACCCCATCAAAACGTGTAGATACAGGTAACACAGCCTCAGATTTCCTAATGGTGGTGAATCACCTCTCCCTTGTGTTTCTGTTCCCAGATGTGGGAAAACAGTCTGCTGATAACTCAGTCTGGAGCAGGCCCGAGTCCCAGCCCCTGGGGTGTGTGGTTTCTTGGTAACCAGCAACATGCTCATGTAGCTTTGTCTTCTACCTGTCCTTACCAGGAAGCAGGCTTTGGAGCTGAGGTACACTGAGGATTTAAGGTCTCCAGCAGTGCTCCTGTCATGATTTGTTGCAAACCCTGGCAGCCCTTCCATTCTGCTCAAGGAATCTCAGGTACTGTATTTCCACAGTGAAAAGCAACCTGTTGAATCATCTGTATGCCATCACTGCCATCCTTACTGGGGGTCGGTTGGTGTAATTCAGACTTAGGTGCTTGGTAACTAACGGTTGCAGCCATCGGTTCACCATCTGTACCAACTCCCACATTTCTAGCCTACTGTTTGAAGCCAGGACCCCCAGACTTGCTCCTAGAGTCGTAGGAGATAGGAGTGATACTTCGGGGGTGCAGTAAAAACCTCATGAATTGAGAGTGCTGTGTAAGCAAGTGGGGTCCCCCCTCACAGCGTTTATGGAGTTTCCTTAGGGTGTGAAAAGAAAGGCTTGAGACACCAGGAGAACAAGCTGAGAAGCCCTGTCTTGACAGCCTAGCTGGGCCCCTCTCATTCCTTCAAAATGGCAGGATCCAGTGTCTGGGGTCCCGTCTATTCTGACTTTAGGTGCTGGCCCTTTGCAAGGGCTTAGGAGTCATTTGCTGACAAGGACCAGAATGAATGCTTAGTGCTCTGGGGTCCTAGAGAAGAGCCAGGAAATTTGGACTCTGGGCCTGGGAGGGATTTCTGGTGACAGTCAAGATGGGCAGAGCCTTGAAGGATGTGTTCATCTTGAGCAGGGACAGAAGGCAGTGACACAGGGTAATGTATCCTGAGGAGCTGCAGAAACAGTGGCTGAGAGCCCGGGAGGGAGTTGAGCTGCTTGAATCCAGGCGTCTGGACCTTGGGCAAACATCTTTAGTCTCCATGACTCAGAGTGTGATGGCAGCTCTTCCGGAATTGTTTTGTTTTGTGTTTATATATTTATTTTATGTGTATGAGTGTTTGCCTGAATGTATGTATGTGCACCACATGCTTGCCTGATGCCTGCAGAGGCCAGAAGATGATGTCAGATCCCCTAGAACTGGAGTTACAGACAGTTGTGAGCTGCTATGTGGGTGCTGTGAATCGAACCTGGGTCCTCGGGAAGGGCAGCCAGTCCTCTTAACCGCTGAGCCATTGCCCTAGTCCCTAAGAATTGTTTTGAGAAACACTCTCCCCATAATCCTTCACACTCCACTGCAGAGGATGTCTTCCTCTACTGCTCTCTGCCCTGGTACTTGCTGGTGTGTGTGTGTGTGTGTGTGTGTGTGTGTGTGTGTGTGTGTGTGTGTGTGTGTGTGTGATGTAGAGGAGGGGATAGGGCATGCCCATGGAGGTCAGAGGAAAACTTGGTGGAATCAGTTTTCTCCTCCCACATTTATGTGGTCCCAGGGATCTGACTCAGGTCATCAGAATTATGAGGCATGTCCTTTACTTGATCAACCAACCATCTTGTGGGCCTTCAACCTTGGCGATTTGAGACTGGGTCTCTTGCTGAACCCAGAGCTCACTGATTGGCTAGATTGGCTGGTCACCGAATTCCAGGGATCTGCCTGTGTTTGTCCCCCATCTAATGCTGGGGTTACATGCACTTGCCATCCTGCTTGGCTTTTATGTGGGCTCTGGGGAACGCAAATGCAGGTCTTTATACTTCTGGGGGCAGACATCTTACCAAGTAGGCTGACTCCCAGCCCTGGTTCTGGGTTCTAACATGTTCTCATGTGATGAACTAGGAACTGGCTCAGGGAGCAGAGGGCTCTGAGAACCACAGCTTTACTGAGTCCCAGACACAGAGGCAGAGATCAGTTTATCATCAAGCATGTGCTGAGGTGTCTGTCTTACCTAGTGTTTCACGTAGTTAATGCCACTTTCATGGCACAGTTGGAACTTGGGTTTGAAATCTAAGCAGTTGGATCCAGGAATCACAAGAGGCAGAAGGGACCTGAGCAAAGAAACTTGGAGGTAGCCTAAGGCTCAGTTAAGAGCAGAGTAGCCGAATCAGTAGGCATATGAACTCATCCTTAGGAGAATGCAATGAGACATGGGTCTTACGTAGAACAGCAGATGAATGTTAGGGGCACCTGCACTCTGCCTATCATTTGCTGAACAGGGAGGCTGACGGGAGTGTTCAGAGAGAGTGGAGAGAGCTGGTGATGGAGAGCTGTGGCCTTATCATTAGAGAGAGGACTGTTGGCAAACACCGGAGGCCAAAGCTTAAATAGTTAAAGAGTGAGGTTCTCAGGCCTGGGAGGACCGGAAGCAGGTGTCCTGTTACCCTTGTGCATGCACAGCATGCCTGGTAACCTGCTGTTGCTCAGAAGCACGGCTTGTTGTGAGCAGTCGTCTCCGAGGCTCTGGTGGTGAGGCTGCAGCTTGGAGCTAAGCATGGTGAGTATCATGTCACACAACTCCTGTTTTGCTTGCAACCTGACACATCGAATGGGATAGAAATATACTGGACTTCTGGTGATGGGATGCTTATGCCGGATGGTGTTGTTTTTGGAAGAGTATCTGAGAAATGAAACTGAAAAGCTAGGCTCAGGGCATCCTGTGTCCAGTCTGAGGATCAACCGAAGAGGCCTGCAGTCAGCACAGTGGCAGCAAGGAGCTACACTGAACCCCAAGGTAGGGAGCAGGGGTGTGGTTAATGCAGGACACTGTACTCACAATGCTAGCTGCTGTGCTAAGCCCAAGCAGGTATACAGTAAACAAAGGGAGACTTGTGAATGAATGAATTAGAGGCTTAAAGGTAAAGTCAAAGTAACACTTCAAGAGGAGAGCCTACCACAGCTGAATAGTTCAGGCCCACAAACTTTGGAGGGATGTGAACATGTATCTGCAGTTCAGCTCTGTTTTTTTTTTTTTTTTTTGTTGAGGCAGACCACACATCCTATCCAGACTCCAGTTTGATTTTTTGTGGAGTTGGCATAATGGTACTGTATCTGAAGGGAGCAGCCAAAAGCACCTTGGCCTAAGCACTGCCATTTTGGCTTCTGACTTCATTTTACCTGGAGGGTGAAACAAAGGTCAGGATCCCAAGCCCCAAGGGAATCGAGAACTTTCCAATGGATGACAAACCTTCTCCCTAAACCATAGAAATAGTGGATATGCATCTTTAACTCTCAAAAACATTACCGCTGGTCCTAGCAACAGAAGGAACAAATGAATCTGATTGATTGGGCTAAGAGGCCTGCACATATGTTGGTTGACAATGATGGGACACACAAGGATGCCTCTCATCTTTGATTTCTGATTGGTGAAAATTGTAACTGTAACTTGGCAACAAATGTTTGTGATTATAAACCCTACCTCTGCCCCTACTTGGGACTGTCAGGAGAAACAAGGCTCTGGAGTCCTGGTCCTGTAGCCCTGATGGATCAGTGCTTGCTTATGTGGTGGTTTATTAAAATCTCTGGAACCTATAAGTGTTGTCTCTCTCCTTCCTCGTGTGGTGCATAATTTGCTAGGTGTAAAATATCTATTTGTAGATTCATGCGTAGAGATTGCATGAAGCATGCTGGTATTACCCCTGAGCCTCCCCCCCCCCCCCCCCATTCTCATAGTCCCTGGGTCCCTTGGAAACTGGTGAAGCTGGCCTGGTCATTGCCACTGTCTCTTCCAGAGGAAGGCAGTTCAGAAAGGGACAGAGACTTTCCTAGAGCCTGTTCTCTGCTAATCTAGTCCCACTTCCTTTCTTTCGAGAGTTTTGGGACCTTTTTTGTTGTTAATTTTGTCATTGTCTTAGCAAATGTCTGACAAAAGCAATAGAAGAAAACGTCTCTTTTGGCTTTCATTATAGTGGGGGGGTGGGCGTGGCAGTAGGGGTATGAGGTAGCTAACTACCACTTCCACAGACAGGAAGCAGAGAATGTTGCCTTATCCAGGCCAGGGGATTGACCCATATCCAGGGTGGAGTTTCCCTCCCAGGTTAATACTCTCTGGAAACACCTGATAGACAAGATGAGAAGTGTGTCTCCTAGGTGACTCCAAACCCAGTCAAGAAAGATAAACTAAGACACTTTTCTTGGATTGCATTTCAATAACTGGATCACACAGGCTGGAAAGAATTTGATAATTGTGGAAGTGTGTACCTTTTCTCATCTTAGACTCTCAGTCTGCAAGGGCGAAACTATATTTTTTTAGTTCAAAAAATAATAAAATTAATAGGTGATAATGGGAGGAATTTTGAATGACATAGAAACCAAAAAAATAAAAATCTTGCAGCCACTTGCATTTCCTACAGGTAGTCAATGCCAGTAGCTTTTGGTTGTTTTAGAAAATGTGTGCTTATGAAATCAGGCATGTAAATGAATCACGTGACCAACATGTGTGCACATTTTCCATAATCAGAACAGGTACAAATCACTCCAGTGAACACTGTGTGAGGCTCATCTATCTGTCTGTCTGTCTGTCTGTCTATCTATCTATCTATCTATCTATCTAACCACTGCTATCTGTCATTCATCTATCCATTTATTTATCCCATGGTCTCATTGCTGTCTTTCATAGACAACTATCCCAAATGAGATCCATATCTATGTATTTTTAAGTTATTTTTTAAATGTGATTGTATTAATGTTAGACCAGAAATAAAGGTGTGTGTGTGTGTGTTGTGTTGTGTGTGTGTGTGTGTGTGTGTGTGCGTGCTGGTAATCCAACTCAAGGCTTTGTGCATGCAAGGCAGGTGCTCTACCACTAAACTACAGCCCCAGGCTTCTGCCCCTCTTGATTATTTTTTTTTGACAGTTACTCAGACTTTAACTTACTGTGTAGTATAGGCAGGTCTTGAATTCATGATCCTCCTGGGATTATAAATCCTCATGTACCAGGGTTTTATGAATGCTAGGTAGAAACTCTACTACTGAACTGCAATCCTCAATGTAGGGGGAAAAAGCAGCAAGTAAACAGGCCCATCATAGACTGAGCACAATCTGTGCAGAGACATAGTGGCTTTCCTAAGGCCCACTGACTGGGCTGGACATTATGTCACTTAGAATCCACCAGAAATAACCTGGTCACATGATCACACTTTACTGCAGGAGAAACTGGGAAATATAGTCCAGACATGTTCTACTAGAATGCGGTATGGCACTGTTGTGATCATTAGGCGGCTCTGCCATTCTGGAAGAGTTGTTGGACTTTATCCCAAGTAACTGTCGTGTTGCAGAAAAACCCACTTGAACACTTGACAAAATTCGTTGCCAGGCAGGCAGTCCTGCAGTGGGTCTGTAGAAGGTTCCTGAGGACCCCACCGTGTGCCAGGCTCTGGGCTGGGTGTATCACAGGCTTCCTTCCTCACCACAGTCCTTCCAAGTGGGTTTCCAGCTCCCGCACAGACCTTGGAGGGTTAAGAGGAAGAGACTTGGCCAAGGCAGAGGACTCAGATACATACTTCTGAGAAGTGGAAGGCCCACCTAGCCTTCCCACACTGTTGCCATGTCAACAGTCAGGGCATCGTACTGAGTAGCTCTTATACAGACAACTCACTGTGTGTCCTTAAAGTTTGGCTGAGCAGGTATATGGAAGACACAGCCATTTGAACTTGTCTAACTTGGATACTTCCATTTTCCAGGTCCTCTTTCAGCTCCTTGGCCAGTGGCCTTGTTGGCACTCTACCCCCGTGGTCAGCCCAGAGCCTCTCCTGCCCATGCAGTACCCAGCACCCACTGTTGAGGGCCTTAGTGGCCCACTGTCGGGGGCTTACACGCTCCCCACCTTCAAGTTCCAGCCTCGTCGTGAGAGCATAGACTGGAGGCGCATCAGCGCTGTAGACGTGGACCGTGTGGCCCGGGAGCTGGACGTAGCCACTCTGCAGGAGAACATTGCTGGTGTCACCTTCTGTAACTTGGATCGAGAAGTGTGCAACCACTGTAGGCAGCCTGTGGACCCCGTGCTGCTCAAGGTGTTGCGGCTGGCACAGCTCATCATCGAGTACCTGCTTCACTGCCAGGACTGCCTGAGTGCCAGTGTGGCCCAGCTGGAAGCACGGCTGCAGGCCAGCCTGGGCCAGCAGCAGCGTGGGCAGCAGGAGCTGGGGCGCCAGGCTGATGAGCTCAAGGGTGTTCGGGAGGAGAGCCGGCGCCGGCGAAAGATGATCAGTACCCTGCAGCAGCTGCTTCTGCAGACGGGTGCCCACAGCTACCACACGGTGAGGATTCTTTGCTGAGGGGAACCTGAGCTGTGTACCTTAGGCACCAGGACAGGTGATTGGCACTGCCTTGGACTAAGGAGACAGCTGGAGGCCATTGTCAACAGTTATGAGCAGGTTTTAGAGATAGCGTTCTGAGAGTCTGAGGATTCTTGTTGGGTTCTATGTTATTCAAGTGTAGAAAGGGTGTGGAGAGATGAGTGGGAAGGGTTATGTATACAGAGTACTCTTGTGCATGGAGAAGATGTATGTGTAGTGTGTGAAGGTGTGACTGGGAGGTTTGTATCTGTGCATGTGAGTGTGTTAAATGTGCATATGCAAATGATGGAAGTATGGCTATGATATCTGTGTCTGTAGAATACATGTTGTATAATGTGTGCTCCTACTGACTTACCACAGTGGACACAGCCAAGAAGTCTAATACAAAGATGTATTTATGATGTATGTCTGTGTGTCTTTGAGGGGGGGAAGGATGTAAATGTCTGTATACGTAGAGACTGCATGTAAAGATGTATATGTGAATGAACGAGGCATATGTAATATATGTGTCTAAGGATGTTAGTATGTATGGAAAGTAGATCTGTTTTTTTTTATGTGTACAAGGATGGAGAGTTTGAATGTATGCAGAGTGTGCCATGTAAAGGCATGCATGAGTGCATGGATGCCTTTGGATGTTGACTAAGTGTGTGGCAAGGCATAGTAGAGGCAGTCTCATTTTAGAAAAATTATTTCATAGTTTAGACAGGTAATAATTCATAACCAGCTCAGCACTTGAGCGCTTGAATCCACTGCACCAGAAACACAGGTTGAGACATTAACCCTGCCCACAGGCAGGCTCTAGAATGTAGTTACAGGTCTTGCTAGTTGAGGTTTTCAGGAGATTCATAGTTTGGAGGCAAGGCTGTTAGTGTAGGGTGGAGAGATAAGATGCCCCACCCAACTTACATTCCCCTTGCAACTAGGGGTTAAGTCTCTAGTGGGCAGAATGTGTCAGTGCGTGTACTGCAAGTGACAGATCTGCCTGGCTCTGCCTCCTGAGCACTCTAAATAAAGGTGTGTGTCACCAGGACTTAAAACAAAGTCACCTTTTAGAAATCGCATATACTATTTCTGCTTATATATAATGACTAGAATTTAGTGACATGGTTGCATTTGGTTGTAAGAGGGGCTGGGACATATGGTGGACATATTTTCACTGGCCTTGTATTCTACTAGAAATCAGGGTTCCTATTTTCCTTCCCTTCCCAATGTTTTTTATTTATTTATGCAGTGATGGGAATTGAACCCAGGGTCTCCCACACTCCCAACCCTTCAAGCTATTTCTATTTCTGAGGCAGCCCTTGGGCCTTGCGGAGGCAGATTTTCAATACAGGGAAGTCCCATGCTGTCTGGGTGATCTAATCCAGCTTTTCCAATTGTTTCCCCTCTTTGTAGTGCCATTTGTGTGACAAGACATTCATGAATGCCACCTTTCTCCGGGGCCACATCCAGCGCAGGCATGCAGGCACGACAGAAGTCGGTGAGTCAGGGCAGCATCTGGGAGCTGCTGGGATAGGTTTTGGTGAGTGGCACAGACGCATGAACCTGATCTTAGAGCCTCTTAGAGATTCCATGTGGAGCCCAGTACAGTCTTGTCTGTGTAGGGAACAAGAGGAACCCGACACACAGGCTTAGTTTTAGCTTTTCCCTTTCCATGACAGTGGTCAGCCTCTGAATTTTTGTACCCTTCACTGTGACTGGAGTAGGCAGTGGCTCTGAACGGCCTTTAGTCTCCCTGCCCCATTGGAAGCTCTCTCAGGCTGGCTGTGAGCATAAATGGGGCAAATGAGCAGTCAGACCAGTTCTTTGGCTGCTCTGTGTACTGGTGCTTATCATGACTTAAGCACTTTATTTAATTTTGCCATGTCAAATTCCAAAAGGAGCAGCAAGGCTTTGTGCTGTTTTCATAAAGTGAGTGCAACAGAAATATCTGTTCAATAAAATAAACATAATAGAATATAAAAACTCCATTAAGGAAAGCATCACTATTTCCCATTATTGCGATTCCCTTAAAAATAAAAGATTTTTAGAATTGAGAATATAGCTCAGTAATAGAGGACTTGCTTATATGATTGTATAAGTGAAGTTCTAGGTTCAGTCCTTAGACATACACACACACACACACACACACACACACACACACACACACACAGAGAACTTAAAGCAGTATCATACAACTGTGCACTTATATATCTCTTCATAGGTAGATATTGGGGAGTATTTAAGGAAAAAGTCTATGTCTTAAAATACCAGTCTCTTGTAAAAATATGTTTTTGATATGGAAATTTATCTACATGATGATACATAGGAAAAGAAAAAAAACAATGGGCGTTATCACTGACAGTTATTATTTTGACGTATTTTTATGCATATATTTGCAAGCATATAAAAATCCCTTTTGACTATTGCTTGAGAATATGCTACAGCCTTGGCTTTCCTGGAACTTGCTCTGTAGACCAAACTGGCTTCAAACTCACAGAGATCCACCTGCTTCTGCCTTACAAGTGCTGGGATTAAAGGCGTGCGCCACCACTGCATGACTTTTGTTGTTGTTGTTTAAATAGTTGGTCTTGAACTTGCTTAGTGCAGCTAATGCTAGCCTTGAACTCCTGATCTCCCTGCCTCCACTTCTTGGATACTGGGATTGCATATGTATGCTACCATGTCTGGCTTATGCAAAGTAATGGGGATCAAAAGGAGGGCACTGTGCACACTAGGCAGGGCTCTGTCAGCCCAAACCATCTTTGAAGACACAAATTTTAATGACAGAACAGAAATTCATGATGTGACCATCAGTTTCTTCCACATTGTCCTGCAGAATATCTGGGTAACTTGAAAATCTTACTGTGTGGCACAGGGGTGTCAGCATTCTCATGTGTAAATCTTTGTGTGTATCTTTTAGAAGGACAAGGAACTGTTCTTTCTCTATTTTAAGATTTATTTTTATTTGCTTATGTGTATGTTTCTCTGTGTGTATGCTGTGTGTGTATGTGCGTTTGCCTAAGGGGCCAGAAGAGGGCGTTAGATCCCTTATAGCTGGAGTTACAGACAGTTGTGTGCCACACAACATAGATCTTGGGAACAGAACTCATGTTGTCTGGAAGAGCAGCAAGTGCTCTTAATCACTTTTCCATCTCTCTTCTCAGTAATGGGAAATGTGTTCTTTTTTTTTTTTGGTTTTTTCGAGACAGGATTTCTCTATGGCTTTGGAGGCTGTCCTGGAACTAGCTCTTGTAGACCAGGTTGGTCTCAAACTCACAGAGATCCACGTGCCTCTGCCTCCCGAGTGCTGGGATTAAAGGCGTGCGCCACCGCTGCCCGGCTAGGGAAATGTGTTCTTAAGGAAATTTTTGCTGCCAGCTCTTCTAGTCTATAATTACCCTTGATTACTTTATTAAACTCAAATAATTCTGCATTCTAAAATTGCTTGTTCCACCTGTCTGGTAGCATAGGCCTTTAATTCCAGCCACTTAGGAGGCTAAATCAAGAGAATTGAAAGGTCTGCCTGGGCAGCTTAGTGAGAGCCTGTCTTAAAATGAAATGTTGAACTGAGGGTGGTGGTGGGTAAGCTATAGCTCTTACAGCGTGCTTGCCTAGAGTGCAGTACCTATTTCAAAGAAAAGGTGGCTTTTTTGCTTCCTTTAGTTTATTTGAAAATATTTTAAAAAAGACACATTTTATGTATATGAATGTTTTGTCTGCATGTATGTATGTACATCACATGCGTGCCTGGTTCCCACAGAGACCAGAAGAGGGCATCAGATCTCCTGGAACTGGAGTTACAGACAGTTGTGAGGCACCATGTGGGTGCTGGGAGTTGAACCTGGGTCCTCTGGAAGAAAAGCCAATGCTTTTAACCTCTGAACCCTCTCTCAAGCCCCAAGGTTGACTTTCAATAAGAGTACTTGGTAATTTCTGTTTTTTTTTTTTTTTAACGAGACAGGGTTTCTCTGTATTGTTTTGGAGGCTGTCGGACCAGCCCGGCCCCAAACTCACAGAGATCCGCCTGCCTCTGCCTCCTGAGTGCTGGGATTAAAGGCGTGCACCACCACCGCCCAGCGGTGATTTTTGTTTTAAAGCCACTAAATGTACTTTTGTATTTCATTCTCTATCTGATATTCTAATATAGTGATTCTCAGCCTGTGGATAGCAACCACTTTTGGGCATTGAATGACCTTTTCACAGGGATTGCCCAAGGCCAATGGAAAACACAGATATATACATTACATTTCATACAGTAGTAAAATTACAGTTATGAAGTAGTAACGAAATAATTTATGGTTGGGGTCAGTACAACATGATGAATTGTATTAAAGGGTCACATGCAGTATTAGGAAGGCTGAGAAGCACTCTTGAATAGTTGCATGTCCATCTGTCAAAATAAAGAACAGTTCCTAGGGCTCGCATTTGTGGGACTGTCATGTCAGGCACTGTGCTAAGAACTTGGTGTTGTCACATCTCACTCTGACACTACACTACACTCCCCACTCGAGTGATGTTCTAGTTCTGCTTTTGCAGTTTGGGGAACCCAGGGACAGGTAGGGGATATGCTCTTCGTCTGGTGAACTATGTGACAAAGCAGCTCTCAGACTGAGGTGTGATTGCGGAGGGAGGAATACCCCATTGTTGTCTTTGCTCCTGTCTCTGTGTGGACCCCAGGAAAGCAGAAGCAGGAGCAGCCACTGGGGGAGGTGCTGGAAGAGCTTAAGGCCAAGCTCCAGTGGACCCAGGGGGAGCTGGAGGCCCAGAGAGAAGCTGAGCGGCAGCGGCAGGTCCAGGTAGGTGTGCAGGGGAGAGGTGGGGAGGCTCTGGGTGTTGTACCCTGCCCTGCACAAGATTCCTGGGGCCCAACTTCCCACTGATTTCCCTGAGCTGGAAGTCAGAAAGAGAGGGCCACCTTCTCTGATGTGGGGCGTGATTATAGTTCGTCTGGAAAGGACCTGTGTGACTGAAAGTGGAGCAGAGAGAGTCATGGTCTTCTGCATAGCGATGCTGAAGGCATCTGAACTGGAATATAATGTTTTGTGTGAGTTGGCTCTCAGTTTTTGGCTAATTAGTTTTGAAAGGCCCAGAATCTAGGCTGGGGGGTCTAGGGAGTGTGCTCTAAATATTTACAGAGAGCCTTCATTTCTCCATGTATTTGCTCATCAGTTATTGTGTTAGCAGGTGTTTATTGAGTGCCAACCAGGTGTTGTGAGGATGTAAAGAAAGAGAAAATGAGTCTTATCCTCATTAAATTTATAGTTTACATAGGACATGCTAGCAGTGGACCAGTCTGGGTCTAAACCACAGGGACTGAGGGTGGAGAGTTCTTTGGATCCCCATAGTGTTATACATGTAGGAGGTCTTAGTGGGTCCTTGGAAAATGTTTGCTACAGTGTGGAAGTAATGATTAAATTGTTCTCTCTCTCTCTCTCTCTCTCTCTCTCTGTCTCTGTCTCTCTCTGGTAGGAAATAGAGATGAGTCGTCAGAGGGAAATAGAAGCTAAAAAGAAGTTTGATGAATGGAAAGAAAAAGAACGAAGCAAGCTGTACGGAGAAATAGACAAGTTGAAACAATTATTTTGGGATGAATTTAAAACTGTTGCCAACCAGAACTCTACCCTAGAAGAGGTACCCAACACAAAAAGCTTTTCAAAATTATTTTGTTGTAAACCTGTTTATTTGTTCTTAAAATTGTGTGTGTGTGTGTGTGTGATCTGTAATTATTAAAGCCTTCCCATCACAGGGATGGGAATGAGAGTGCTCTCTCTCTCTCTCTCTTTCTCTCTCTCTCTCTCTCTCTCTCTCTGTGTGTGTGTGTGATCTGTAATTATTAAAGCCTTCCCATCACAGGGATAAGAATGAGAGCTCTCTTTCTCTGTCTCTCTGTCTCTGTCTCTGTCTGTCTCTGTCTCTGTCTCTCTCTCTCTCTCTCTCTGTGTGTGTGTGATCTGTAACTATTCAAGCCTTCCCCGCTGGATTAGTGATGTTCCATGGAAGGCAAGCTGCTGCTTCCCGTGTGGCCCTCTGCTCACTAGCTCTGTACCCATTGTTTCGGATTTTCAATGTTCCCAACTCTGTACTTCCCACCATGTTGCCTGCTCAGTAGGGATTTATAAATAACTGTTGATTTGGAATAGAGGCTACTATTGAGAAACCACTTCATAAAGGGCCAACGGATTACTTTTGGCTAGGAAACCTGAGTTTCAGAAAATGAGGACACGATCCTTTTCCTCTCCCTTTCTGATTCAGAACATTTTTTAAATATTGGAACACCCTAGGATTGCATTTATTTTTTGTGTGTCTGTAAGATTATTCATGTTATGTTTTTATATCCCCTACCTCCTTTATACATTTTACTATTTCATTTTATTAAAGTATAGGGACCAAATTGGATATAAAATTATCAGTATTGTTTGATAATTATTTTGTCAATTCATTCCTTTTTAAGTTTTGGGGGAAATAGGGTAAGATTCTATTTAAAAGCATTGGAAAAGTATTGTGAGATGGTTTTCAAAACTACTGGCAACATCTTGATGTGAGGAGGGCCAAGAGCTAAGTATCTTTTGAAAGTGTTGCTCCTGGTACAGAGACGTGAGCGCTTTGGCTGTGTTGCCTGACTGCAGAGAGAACATTAGGATACATGGAGTAGATGCAGCTGCTAGGGGATCTGCTAACAGGAAATACGGGGCATGGAGGTCTCTAGTGCAGAGTCAGCTATGTGGTGTGCTGTAGCAGTGGCAGAGAAGGCAGAGGTGGCATACCCCCCCTCCAGTTGTTCATGCCTCTGCTAAAGCGTTTGCCAATGAAAATACTCACACTGGGAAATGATTAACATTTTGTACTGGTATTGCTTAAGCAGTGACTGGGAAAAGTTATCAACACTGAGTAAACTCAGGCTCAAAGATTCTTAAAACTGTATTAAGGCTTATCATGGGTTATGTGCAGGAATAGACATGGCTTTGTTAGAGTAACATGGGCAGGTAGAAAGCAGTTCTGTCTTTGATCCAGTTGTGCCTGCTTTCTTCTCTGGGCACAGTGCTATCCCAAGAATCATGAAGTCAGTAGAGCTGACCCTGTGGTGTAGGAGTGGGTGAGCAGGTCCTAAGGGCGTGAGAGCAGGAGAACTGGCCTTGTTCCTTGCTGCCTGCTGCAGAGGGTGAGTTAGCTGGGGCAATGCTGGAGAGCTTGTCCTGGTGCTGTCGATAAGGAAAGTTGGCAGGCTGACCAACCCAGCTACCACCCCGGGCCAGAACTGGGCTATGAGTTAACCCACACCAACATCCATTTCATCTATGAACTGCCGGAACATGTAAAGGGGCGGGAGCTGCAGATCCAAAGCTGCAGGATCTCCAGGACACAGGGAAACAACAGATAGCCAAGAGGATCCCCAGTGAGGGCCCAGTATTGAGAGTGTAGCAGAAGCCAGAGGCCTTGAACCAGGCTAATGACTCATTGCAATGAACACTTGCAAGTGAAGATGTAAGGACTACAGGTTGTGCTGTGTGACTCACTGTCACACTGCAGCTGCCACACTGAGATCGTTTCTTTGTATGCTAGTTTTGTTTTTATTTTAAATTTTATTTTATCTGGGGGTGGGAGGTTTCAAGAGAAGAGGGCGGATATAAAGGGATGGGGAAATAAATGGGACCAGGATGCATGATGTGAAATCCACAAGAATCAGACATTGTGCAAAACCAGCTGTTTCTGGTGACACCAGGGTGTGTGTGTGTGTGTGTGTGTGTAAGAAGCAGGGACCTTCAGGGCATGACTTGCAGGGCCAGAGATTCTCATATGCCCCTAAAGTGTGACTCTCTTCAGCTTAATCTAACCTAGGAAGAAATTGGCCAGCAGCTGGGCAGGCTTGGAGCTTGGGGACAGCAGAGTCTCATTGGGACTGAAATGACACTTGGATTTGTTTGTGCCACGGGTACTTACTTCTACTGTTGATTTGTGTGGATGTTTGCAGTGTTTGCACATGTTGGTCGTGATGGCAGACTGGACAGGCTCTTGATGGCGGTCACCCTTCTGGTTCTGTACTGGGGTAAGGTAGATAGCCAGTGTCATGTCTAGGGCTCCCTTTGATGAAACGAGTCTTGGCTTTTGCAGAAGCTGAAGGTGCTGCAGTCCTACAGTGTAACTGAGTCCCACCTTGGGTCTCTGAGGGATGAGGAGTCAGAGGAGCGACTCATGCAGGCCCAGGAGCTCCAGGCCCTTCGAGAGAAGATGGAAGCTCAGGTAGGCTGATGCTCCTCCATGCGTTTCTCTCCAGAGCTAGCCAAGAATCTGGCTGTCCTCGCCGAGGCTCCGGTTTTGCCTTGTGGATTTGGTGAAGTCGAGAGACATCAAAGCTCTTTATTTTCAGACCTTGTTCAGTATGAAAGTTCTGAATATGGTTCCTGGGCAAGGCTGGTGATGTGTTTAATCATCGTATTTACCTGATATGTACAAATACATGCAAACACAGGTGGTCCTTTTTGACATCTTTGTCCCAACTTTTGTTTTGTTTTGTTTTGTTTTTGGTTTTTACGAGACAGGGTTTCTCTGTATTGTTTCAGAGGCTATCGGTCCAGCCCAGCCTCGAACTCACAGAGATCCGCCTGCCTCTGCCTCCCGAGTGCTGGGATTAAAGGCGTGCGCCACCACCGCCTAGCCTTTGTCCCAACTTTTATTCGGACACAATTTAAGACAATTCAGAAGGTGTAACAGTGTCCTGGGATGTGAAGATATTTGTGACAAGTCTATGGTGTGGTAGTAAATGCTTAGGTATCATCTTGGAGCCAAAAACAAAACAAAACAAAAAACCAAAAACAAACAAGCAAACAACAAACCAAAAACCAAACAAACAAACAAAAAAACACTTAACCAGTGTCTGTGGTGTGCAGATTCCTATTTGGCCATCACTATGAGGTCACTGAACAGAGCTGGGAAAATTTGAACCCAGTCTACTCTGGCCACCACTGGGAGAACCTTACTCAAGTCGAGACAGAGGATGTCAGTGTCATCTCTAAGCCACAGCGGGTACAGTAAGCCACAGCCTAACATGAGCTCCTGTGTCCGCTCTCCAAGGTGGTTGAGAAAGAACCAGAGTCTGTCTGCAGAAAGTGATGAAGCTGGCCGTCTGGTGTCTTTTAGGGTTCCTGTTGCTGTGAAGAGACATCATGACCATAACGGCTCTTATAAAGAAAACATCCAATTGAGGCCGCTTATAGTTTCAGATGTTTAGTCCGTTATGAGACCTCAAAAGCCCACCCTCCAATGATATACTACCTTCAACAAGCCACACTTCCTAATAGTGCTACTCCCTGTGGGCCTGTGGGGGCCATTTTTACTCACAGCACCACAGATGTTGTCCTAGTTTGCTCTCTGCTGCTGTGCCAAGCACCACGACCAAAAGCGTCTTGGGGAGAAAAGAGGTTCTTTGGTTCACACTTCCGTGTGACAGGAGATCATCAAGGGAAACCAAGGCAGGGCCCTGGAAGAGGGACACTGCTTACTGGCTTGCTCTCCTTGAGCCTTGCTCCAGGACCACCCCAGGAATGACACTGCCCATAGTAGGCTGGGCCCTTCCACATCAATCGTCAGTTAAAAAAATGCCCCACACGCTTGCCTACAGACCAGTCTGGTGGGAACATTTTTCTCATTGAGATTCCCAGATGACTCTAGCTTGTGTTAAGTAGACAAACAAACAGACAACAAAACACAAACTGATCCGGCATAGATGGTTCATAGATTTTTTACATCATAAAAAAATCATTGTTCCTGGGAGATGGCTTGGTCAGTAAAGTGCTCTCAATACAAGCATGAGGGCCTTACTTTAGATCCCCAATGGCCACATAAACACATCAGGGAAAGCATGTGTCTAGAACCTCAGAGCTAGGCAGATTCTGGGACTCATGACTCACTGCTCAGTCTAGCAAGAGACCCTGTCTCAAAAGTAAGATGGAGAGTGACCCCAGGCCTCCACACACATGCAAGCTCTCCTGTACACACATACACTCTCTCTCTCTCTCTCTCTCTCTCTCTCTCTCTCTCTCTCTCTCTCTCTCTCTCTCTCTCTCTCTCTCTCTCACACACACACACACACACACACACTCTTTCTCTCTCTCTCTCTCACACACACACACAAACAGACAGCCTTTCTTTTCCTGTGAACTTGAACTCTGTTCATATTTTTCCCTTTCTTTTTTTGCCCCCTCTCCTTTCTTTCACTTTTTGAGACAGGGTTTCATGTAGCCTGGGCTGACCTCTGCTTGCTGTGTGCCTGAGAAGGACCCTAACCTCGGACTCGTGACCTTCCTGCTTCCAGCTTTCAATTGATGGAGTCATAGCCTTGCACCACTGCGCTGGCCTTTTGCTTCTACTTGTGGAAATTAATCCAGCCTTTTGTTGACCTAGTTGAGACTATTTTCCCCCAGTTTTCTACTGATCTTTCATCTTCGCTTTATTGTCTGGTCATAAAAGAGTAAAGCTTCCTTGGTAAAAGTTATCAAATGATCAGCTTTTTTTTTTTTTTTTGGTTTTTACAAGACAGGGTTTCTCTGTATTGTTTCGGAGGCTATCGGTCCAGCCTGGCTTCGAACTCACAGAGATCCGCCTGCCTCTGCCTCCCGAGTGCTGGGATTAAAGGCGTGAGCCACCACCGCCCGGCATGATCAGCTTTTTAAAGAGTCATTTTCACTTTAATGTGCATGCATGTGTTCCTGTGTATGTACATGCATGTGTCCCTGTGTATGTGCATGTATGTGTCCCTGTGTATGTGCATGCATGTGTCCCTGTGTATGTGCATGCATGTGTCCCTGTGTATATGCATGCATGTGTGAAGGTGTCTGTAGGCTCTAGAAGGGGGCATTGGGTCCCGTGGAGCTGGAGTTACAGGCACTTGCGAGCCCTCTGATACAGGTGCTGGGAGCAAGAACTGTGAGCTCTCTTGATTGCTGGATATCCCTTCAGCCTCTCTATCCTTTATTGTTGTACCCATTCTGAGATTGAAAAAATCCTGTGTTTTCTTTGAGTGATTCTGTGGCCTTAATTATTACTATTATAATTTTGCTGTCTTGATTTTTATGTGTAATTATCTGATCTGCCTGCAGTTTATATTGGCTTCAAACAGTTATCCAAATTTTTTTTCTGGTTAATTAGCCAGTTGTTCAAACACCAGTAGTCAATAATCCATGCCCCCATTTTCTCCGCCACTAAGTTTCCATTGTCCTCCATATTGGCTCAGTTTCTCTATTCTGTTCCACTGGTCTTTCTGTCTGGCCAGGAGCTAATACCCTTTATTCCTCACACTTCACAGTTTATACTTATTGCTGCCTAGAGGGTTCCAATTAACATGCTTCTACTCTTTTTCCAGAAAACAGAATGGAAGAGAAAAATGAAGGCACTGCATGAAGAGCGGGCAGCCGAGAGGAGAGAGGTAGCTGTTGTCTGGTGTCAGGAGAGCTTGGTTTCCCATGACCGCTCCCTGTGCAGTGTCCCCCTCCCTCCCCTCTCTCTGCCCAGACCTGGTTGTCAGGTGTATTGTTGCAGATATTGTTCCTGGCTGCCAGTCCCCTTTAATATACAAAGGGGGGCATCTGCCTATCCAGCAGATTCCTTAGCCAGGAGTGGGGACCCCCAGCCATGTTTTGAGCCCCACACATCCTGTACTAAGTGGTACCTGTTTCAGAACCTCTTCTGCTATGAGACCGCTGAGTCATATCGTTCATGTGTGGACTCTTTGAAAACCTCACCTCCAGGGAGAACCACAGACCCCAGTGGTATTTCAGAGGGAGCCTAGGGAAGCGCCCAGACACTGAAGCCCCAGCACAGACAGCAGCAGACCTCAGGACACAGCATATGCTTCTTTGTAGATGCCCATGAGGAGAAGGCAGGTTAAGGAGGAAGTTGGTTAACTTTCCTAGGTTCTGCTGGACCATGGCCCAGAAGATGCCATGAGCTTGGCCCATGGGGGACACTTGCTGTCACTATACTGTGGGGTTACTCAGTCCCCACATGCTGGTTTTACTTCATTTGTATTCTCTACAGTTTCCTTATGCAAATATTAATAAACAGCCTCATTTTACCTCTGCTTTTACACCAGAGGTGGCATGACAACACATTTTCCGCACTTCTTGTTTTTATCTGAAAAGACATTTGATGATTTTTGTGTGGTCTTTTTTCTTGCCTGCATGTCCTCAGTGGGTGACTACATCTGACAGAGAACCTTCTTCCATGATCCTAGAGGCCTGCCTTCCATTTTCTTCTCATTCCTTCTCTGCCACAGCTCAAAAATGTACCCAAACCAGAAAGCAGCTAGAATTGTTTGAAAGTCACTTGCACAGTCTAGAAATCAAGTCTGACCTCAGGCCAGACCCTCCACCGGCATTTGGCGATAGGGACTGCCCTTCCCATGGGGGTACTTGGGTCCTTGCAGACATCTGACTGACCAACCTTGCTGTGCCCACCAGATGCGGGAGGAGAATGAGAGGCTCCATGCCACCCTGTCTCAGGACCAGAAGAAGGCAGCTGCCCAGTCGCAACGCCATATCAATGCCCTCCGTGCCCAACTTCAAGAACAAGCCAAGCTTATCGCGTCTCAGGAGGAGACGGTAGGTTGGTCATTGTCTGCAGCTGTCAGGCCTCTTCTCTGTGAGGATGACTCTGGATCCTTCTGAGTTCATGCTGTTGGTCATTAGGTCCCTGAAGGGTGGAAAGAGGAGTGCAAGGGTGAAGAGGGGTATGAGAGTATAAGAATGTAGCCACCTCCTTCTAGGCAAAACTCTCACTATCACCAGAGGCCACACAAGACGCCTGGTCTCAGGCTGGCACTTTGTTCCCTCATTGAAACCCCAGACTTCAAGGTAGACACCACTTTCTCCCCACCTGTTTTTAATGGACGATGAAACAGGCTGACTTGCGTCTGCACAGGGTTTTCGATAAGTGGCGGGTGACATCTGACTCTAGCTACGCTGGTGGAACACAGAGCTGTGTCCCTTAGAGCATATTCACAGGTGTAACTTATTAGCCAGCCCCCTTCCCATAAAGAACAGCTTCCGATGAGGTTTTCTAATAAGCCAGCGAGGGAAAAGTTGCTGTGTCTCTGAGTACGTCCTAAAGCTTGGTCCTGTGGCTCTCCACCTGTTCTTGGTAACTCTCCCCCACCCCCAGCCTGTATTCAGCTCCCTTTTGGAAGTTCAGGTCTGTGGGAAAGCTGCCCCTATCTCCGCCACGCCCCGCCTGGGGTCTCAGGTTCCTGTTTTCCGCATAGGCCTGGAGTTATTGCCACTGTCCAGGCCCTTCCTCCTGTCCTCGTACCTCTTGTTGGTCACACTTTTCTGCTTTCTAGCCACATTATGCCAGCCACTGTATCCACCTGTCATGTGACAAACTGTTTCTGGGAGATATAACATACACATCTATCCACTCACCCCAGATAGGGGACCCATGACAGACCAAAGTACAGATACCATTGATGTCCAACTTGGTGAGCCAATGATTTTTATCTGGGTTACTTACAGAGCAGAAATTACTCACCAAAGCCCACCCCAGCATGGGTGACAGCTCATAAAAGCTGGGAACCTGGAGCACCCTACCCAGCCTTCAGCAGATCAACAGGCTGAAGTGTCTTTTCTAAGAGACTCTGTTGGTCTAACCCTGTTCCAGGCAGCTTGGTTGGTTTCTGCTTCTTCAGGCCATGGTCTGGTCTCAGCCTTCATTGAAGCGTTTCTCCTCTTAGTCACTGCAGGTCAGCCTGTGGGTGTTTCCTTTGTGGTTCAGCTTCCTGAGAGGGTGACTCCCAGCTTTTATTCCTTACTCCACCATCAGGGAGGGGCCTAGTGAGTCTGGTCAGTTTCAGGGACTTCCTGAAGCTCTTGTGAGATGTTTACCTTCCTACTGTGGAGTTTACTACACAGGATGGAATGTTTCAATCTCAGAGGAAGCTGTTACAGGACGCCACCTTGTCCCTTGCAAACATTGGCCTCTTCACTGCTTGTCTTAGGGTTTTTACTGCTGTGAAGAGACACCATGACCATGGCAACTCTTATAAAGGAAAACATTTAATTGGACTGGCTTACAGTTTCAGAGATTCTGTCCATTGTCATCATGGTGGGAAGCATGGCAGTGTGCAGGCAGATAATGGTGCTGGAGAAGGAGCTGAGAGTCCTACATTTTGATCCACAGGAAGCAGAAGGAGACTGTCACACTAGGCCTAGCTTGAGCATATGAGATCTCAAAGCCTGCCTCCACAGTGACACACTTCCTCTAACAAGACCACACCTTCTAATAGTGCCACTCCCTATGGCCCAAACATTCACACACATAGAATGAGGTCTATGGGGGCCATACCTGTTCAAACCTGCACACTGCAGTACGCCACCTCTAGTCCTCTCTGGAAATGTACCTTCCTATCTGTTGTTCGCAAGTGTTTCATTGAGGAACCTGTTGGCTCAAGGTGACAGATAAATAGAAGCACTTTATGCTGACCATATACCCAAAGAGGCAACACTCGCTGGCTGTGGTTAGCACCAAATTTACACCACTGAGAACCCAGACTTTGATTTAACTTTCACATTCAGCTGTCATGGTTATGAGATAGCATCACAGCCCCAGTCATCACAGTCATATTTGATGGAAGAAGTTGATGTAAAAAGAATTATTTATTCTGTGCGTGCGTGTGTGTGTGTGTGTGTGTGTGTGTGTGTGATGGCGTGTGCTCTTCAGCACACATGTGGAGCTCAGAGGGCAATCCTGTGATGTTCATTCTTTCTTATACCTTCATGTAGATTCATGAATCTAGTACAGGCCACCAGACTTGGGCAGCAAGTGCCTTTATCCATTAAGCCATCTTGCCAGCCCAAGACTTTGGAAACCCACTGGTCAAAACAGTGTCAGTGAGCAAATATAACTTTAAAGAAACTGGGAAAGAGCATAATTAAGAAGGGTTTTTCATTAAAAAATTTTATTTTATGTGAATGGTGTTTTATCTTCACGTATGTGTTGTCTCCTGTGTGTCTGGTGTCCTTAGAGGTCACAAGAGGTGGGTGGTCCCCGGAATTGGACCTATAGGAGGCTGTGAGCCCGATGCTGCTGGGAACTGAACCCAGGGCCTCTGTAAGGGCAGCAGGTGCTCTTCACGGCTCCTTCGTCTCTCTAGCCCCACATAATTGGCTTTCCGGCCACTGGAGTAGAGATAGGCAAGGAGAAAGTTGAGAATCTGTGTTGGGTGAGAACTACAGTATACGTGATGCAGCAGGTGACAGAAACCCCAGATGAAGCAGAGAGATGATATGCCACATACATAGATGGCGTTTCACAGTCCACAGCAGAGGAGCGGCTGGGTTTGTGAATGAAATGGTGCTGGGACTCAAGTGTGGGCAATAGTTTCCCTCTTCAGCGTTTCTCCCTCCTAAAAGTGTTTCTTTTATTCAGAAACCAACTGATTCTTACTGGTTCCATGTGGCAAAACACACAAACCAAGAAAACCCAAAACAGTTGGCTACTGGCATTCTTGACCCTTTGCTAGTTCAGAACTCTCCATCCAAATACAGGCAGGCAGCTGTGACTGTGGTCTGAGGTCACGTTGACGATATTTAACTGCTCAGTCTGCAACCTGTGAAAGAGGAAGGAAAAGGCCCTGCTGGGTAGGGGGTGCTGGGCAGATTTGCCGGTGCCTGGGTCAAGCCTCCAGACAGGGATGCTGTCAGGCTTCTGTGTTCCCATGAGCTCAGCTGTCTGCATCACTGGTGAGAATTTCTATCATTTCATGGCTGTCTTAGCATCAGTTTTATCTCCATGCCAACTGCACCCCGTCCCACTCTGCTTCTGTGGGCTCCTGCCCTGAAGGAGTAGTCCTCTGAAGACAGCCATTCTGGTCGCCCATCCCTGAGAAAGCTGAGCAGGCTGTCATCCAGGACTGCTAGCCACTACTCTTCCTTGGTGTGCTGTTTTCCCATTTATGCATGGTGGGAGATGAGATGTGCTTGGGGCTGGGTAGTAAGTCATTCTAGTTCCTGGTGGGTGGCGTGACTGCAGTGGCTGCCCTTTCCTCTCTGTTCCGGGCAGGTCTGCCGCTGGGAGCAGAGTCCCTACAGTGTCCCCTGCTGGCTGTAACCTGCTCTATTCCATCTTTTGCAGATCCAGACGTTGTCCCTCAGGAAGGTGGAGGGTAAGCCTGCAATGGGTGGTTAGGATCAGTCTTTGGGGTTGTCCTTGCCTCTTTGCCTTCCCATCCCCCGGGTGATTTATGGGAAGAAGACAGGCGATTGATAGCAGTCTGTGGGACATACACTGTGGTGTCAGGCTGTCCAGCTGGATAAGGAGGAAGGCTTATGGGAGAGAGGGCATTTGTGCTGAAGGCTTTCCACCAGCTGCCGGGGATTCATGCCCGGTTTGAATTTTCTCTAGTGGGAGGGAAGGGGTGAGGGTCTTGGGTACTGTGTTGATGGAATTGGGTCTTGAGTAGTCTTTCTAATTCACCATGTCTGTGGCATGCCATTACTAACGACTGTGCCGTGCCGAGTACTTACAGTTCAATATGGGGTGGGTATTGTTATTTTTCCACATATGGAAACAGTGAGGCTCAGTGAGGTTCAGAGACTTGTCAGCTCATGCACAGCCCTTGGAGGCAGAGCTGGGATGTGAGTGTGATGTTCCTGTCTCCAGTGTCTGTCTGGGACTGGTTTTTCCATCCTGCCCCTCTGGAGGGCTTGCCCTCCCCTGGGGTACTGCTCCTTTCTTTGAGTCGGGGTGGGGGAGGGCTGCAGCGTTCTAGTACCACTAATTGTTTTAATTGTTCTTGTCTTCTCAGAAGTCCAAGAGGTGCCAAAAGCCGTGGACACGGAGGAGGACTCTTCTGAGGAAGGTGGGTCTCTCTCAATCTCTCTCTCTCTCTCTCTCTCTCTCTCTCTCTCTCTCTCTCTCTCTCTCTCTCTCTCTCTCTCTCTCTCTCTATCTCCTTCACTGCAGAAAGCAGATTGGTTGCTCTCCTCACTTTTTATTTTCTCTTAAGAAACTAAGGGCACAGGTAAGTATTTCTTAAGCACCGTGCATGTACCAGGTGTCTTGTCTAAAGGTACTGATGTGCAGTCTGCAGGTCACTGAGTCATAAGGCTACAGGAAGCAGAGCCCCTGGGCTTCCGACTGTGGCTCAGGGGGGGCACTGACCTTGCTTACTGTCTCCTGTTGCAGAGCTGCAGAGCTCCCATGAGGAGCAGCGGAAGGTGTTGGCAGCTCTGAGGCAAAACCCCGCTTGGCTGAAGCAGTTCCGGCCCATCCTGGAGGATACGCTGGAAGAGAAGTTGGAAGGCATGGGGATAAAGAGGGTCGGTTCCTGGGCCACTGCTGAGCTAGTCATGTGATTATGTGTTTAAAGACAGGGTCTTACTGTGCAGCTCAGGCTGACTTTGAACTCACACCAATCCTCCTGCCTCAGCCGCCAGGGAACTGGACTTAATCTAGAGTGCACCACTACACCAGGGTAAGGGGTGCTGTTCTAAAGGCTGAGACCTATAGTGAAGACAAAAAGTGTTCTCACCCAGGGAGGGGATTGTTTGTTCTTTGCTTTGTAGACTCATTTGTGCTCATTGCTATCTGGGGACAGCTTCTGTCACCTCTTGGCAGAAGAGAGGTCTCTGCTTTCCTTCAAGTCCCCATCCTGGCCCTGTCAATATTCTCCATTCACTAGTTACTTTTTCCCCTGTGTCTCTACCCAAATCTCTGATAGAGGTCATTTAGCTGGCTGAGTTTGGTCTATAGGCCAGTCCTGTGTGCATAAATGTCTCTCTCTGAGTCCACCGTCTACGTATGGACCATGTGGCTGTTCCCAGATAGAGTCTGAATGCATCTATTAGTAAATAAAGGTGCATCGTGTCATCACGGTACACAAGTATCATAGCATTGAACATACCATTTGCATTTCAGTGAGTAAGATTAGAAAAACAAAACAAACTCAGACAGCTAGGTTGACTTTTGTAATGATGCTCATTGAGACTGGCCTGCCTTCAGCTGCTGCTTAATCCCATGTCGGTCCTGTGTTCAGTTTTGCTTTAAAAACGCCTAGTTTTGATAAATCTTCATCTTGGATTCAGATGCCTCCCAGACCATCTCCTGGGCTCTGGGTGCTTGGTATGCAGAAGCCCAGGGGATTTCTAGTAGTACACACTGGTTTGTGAAGTTCAGTTTTCCAAGCACTGTAGACCAGAGAGAGCACAGGAATGCCAGGAGGTGTAAAACCAAGCAGGCCGTGCTCTCAGCCTGGGAATCTGGCTGGTGATGGGAAAGCACACCCCATCCAAGTCCCTCATGGTGTGAAGTGGACTGAACTGTGACGTAGCCCAATGTGATGGAGCGCCTAAGTCCCGAACTTGCACGCTTTCTGCAATGTGTGAAGCCCACCCTCTCTGTCCCCCACGTCACCCCCTCCAACACAACAGGCTCCAGTCACAGTACCTCAGAGTCAGCAGCTATAGGGAAAGGAGCAGGGAGCCTGTGTATGCAAAGGTGAACTTCTGTCTCCTCTAGAACACAAAGGGAATTTCAGCTCAGACTCTCCAACATCTGGAGTCCCTGCTGAAAACCCAGCGGGAGCGGACGGCCCGAAGCTTTCGTGAATTTCTGAGTCTGAGGGAGAAACTCAATAAGGAAGTGACTAGCAGAGTGAAGAAGAGATGGGAGAGCACAGGTGTGGTGTCCCAGTCAGACGGCCAGCCTCCAGGTAAGCAGGGCAGGCGGGCTTCCAGACCACAGGGGGGGGGTCCATTCTGGCTCTATCTTATTTGCATAGGAGGAGGGTAAAAGTGCAGTTGTTTAATGTAAAATGTTAAAGAGATAACAGGACAGGCAGTGTAAGAATGTAGTGAAAATTAGGTGACTATCTGAGAAACTCCATCCTAAGTCAACTTGACGTTCCTAAAGATGGGGCAGTTCCTGATCTTGCAGACATCTCGTACAGACTGGTGCCTTCCCTGCCTGGGTCTGAACTTGTATTCCTTCGCTCATTTGTCCAGATGTCTCTTAGTATCTGCTTTGCCTTACTTTGTACCAGGACCTGCCCTGTCACATGAGAAAGGAGCGAGGATTGGGGGAGGTGAGTCAGACACAGGGGTGCTCGACACTCAGAGGGGAGGAGAACACAGGGAGCACTGGCAGATGTGAGCCACACAGAACGGGAGTGCTGGACACTCAGGACGGGGAGGAGAACACAGGGAGCACTGGCAGATGTGAGTCAGACAGACACAGGAGTGCTGGACACTCAGAGGGGAGGAGAATACAGGGAGCACTGGCAGATGTGAGCCAGACAGAACGGGAGTGCTGGACACTCAGGACGGGGAGGAGAGCACAGGGAGGACTGGGAGATGTGAGCCAGACAGACACGGGAGTGCTGGACACTCAGAGGAGGAGGAGAACACAGGGAGCATGGAGAGGAGAACACAGGGAACATGGAGAGGAGAACACAGGGAACATGGAGAGGAGAACACAGGGAGCATGGAGAGGAGAACATAGGGAGCACGGAGAGGAGAACACAGGGAACATGGAGAGGAGAACACAGGGAACATGGAGAGGAGAACACAGGGAACATGGAGAGGAGAACACAGGGAGCATGGAGAGGAGAACACAGGGAACATGGAGAGGAGAACACAGGGAACATGGAGAGGAGAACACAGGGAGCATGGAGAGGAGAACACAGGGAGCATGGAGAGGAGAACACAGGGAGCATGGAGAGGAGAACACAGGGAGCATGGAGAGGAGAATACAGGGAGCATGGAGAGGAGAATACAGGGAGCACTGGCAGATGTGAGCCAGACAGACACAGGAGTGCTGGACACTCAGAGGGGAGGAGAACACAGGGAGCACTGGCAGATGTGAGCCAGACAGACGGAGAGGAGAACACAGGGAGCACTGGGAGTGCTGGACACTCAGGACGGGGAGGAGAGGGATTTGGAGAGGAAGAAAGGAAATGTCCTCAGACTTCGGGCTTTCAGCGGAAGAAAGGGCATCTTGCTTCTAGGTACCACTCTCCCGCCATTGCTGTCACCAGAAAGCCAGGAGAGCGCCCGCCATTCCCTATCGCCCCTTCCCTAGCTGGCCCAAGTCATAACTGAGATGAAAGATCCATTTCCATGACACTTTGTAGAGCTTACCTTCCTCATCTTCACGTTCCCCTCCCTCTGTCAGTGCTCACCTTGTCAGCTTACAGTCTAAGCAGTTCTCAGCCTGTACCTTTTCACAGGGAGCGCGTATATGAGATCCTGCATATGAGGTACTTATATTACGATTCACAGCAGTGGCACAAATACAGTTATGAAGTAGCAATGAGATAATTTATGGGCGTATATGAGATCCTGCATATGAGGTACTTATATTACGATTCACAGCAGTGGCACAAATACAGTTATGAAGTAGCAATGAGATAATTTATGGGCGTATATGAGATCCTGCATATGGGGTACTTATGTTACGATTCACAGCAGTGGCACAATTACAGTTATGAAGTAGCAATGAGATAATTTATGGTTGGGGGTCATCACAACATGCGGAACTGTATTAAAGGGTTGTGGCATTTGGAAGGCCTCTGGCTCCAGAGCTTGCTGTGAGATGCAGTAGAGGCAGTGGCCAATGGATGGCCAGGTTTGCAACTGTTTGTACTGTGGAGTTGAGGGCAAGGACAATGACACTGCCTGAAGACCAGGACGGCTCTGGGGAGGCTGTGGGCAACAGATGTGTGGAGCGAAGAGCTTCGCATAGTGTCTGGTACACAGTAGCTGTGAGCTGTTGCTGTTTCCTCTCTGCAGTAAGAAACACTTCCTCAGTGAACTTGGTACATACATGTTAAGTTTCATGGAAAGCTCTTACTCTAGCTTCCCGTGATGCACTTTCTCTTCAATTTGCTTTCCATGAATAAATATCACTGGTCCCTTGCTTTCTAATGGGAAACAGGAGTGGTATCTTGCCTATGAACTGAAATGTCCGCCTGTAAGTGCTTGATAGTTATGTAGTCCTGCAGCGACCTCTGGTGGCAAGAGTTTTCCTGCAGGGCCTCTCGCATTCAAGGTTAAGGTTGTTGTGAGTGTTAAGGTTGTGAGCAAAGTCAGCCTGGGTTCACAGACTGGTCTTCTGTAACGATGGCATGACCAGGAGACATTGAATATTCTCCCAGTCTCTGATGAAACTGGAGTTTTGTCCTAGCAGAGGGACTCACGATATAGGGCAACTGTCAAATGTACTGTGACTTGATTATCTCTGGTGTTAGACTTCCTTCCACATTATTTAAGACTACAGGTCCAGCATTGGCGTGTTCTGCAGGTCATTCTTTTCTCTGTTTCTAGTCAAAAGCCAGCGGATCACACTGGCCACAAGGGAGGCCCGGCCAAAGAGCAGAACCCTGAATGTGGCGCTGCCATCCAAGCCAGCACAGCCTTCTACGAACGCTCTTCAGAGCCACAGCAGCCATGGCCCTGGCCTCACCCAGGTGTCCACCCCCATTCCACGCCCCAGAGTGCATGGACCCTCCAGTACCCCTGTTTCCCCTGGGCATGGGCTGAGGTGAGCGCTAGACTTTGCCCTCTTGTAGGGTCTGAGGTGATGGCCTCAGGAAGCCTGTCCTAGACCCTTGCAGAGTTCTGCATTCCAAGGGAGGGTCGGGACAGTCATGATATAGAAGGTACCTCAGGTAGTGTTCAACCTGAGCCTCTGAGAAGAGACTGGGGATCCCTCACTCGCAGTCCAGGCAGACCCACCCTCCCCTTCCCATCCCCCCCATGGCTACAGTGGGAGGGTGGGGCCTCAGGTCCCCTTGGTTTTATACGTCGCCTGAGAGAGAAGGGCTGGCGTGGGGGCAAGCCCCAAAACCAAAGTCTGGCTTTAACATTTTCCTTTCACTTCATCTTGCAGCAGCACCCCCCCTTTTAGTTCTGAAGAGGAACCAGAAGAGGACATGGTGCAACGTGTGTCTCTCCAGCCCCCTAAAGTTCTTCCCAGGTCTGCACCCCAGCCGGAGAGCAGCTGGGGCTGGTCTGATTCCGAGACCTCAGAGGAGAGTGTCCCGCCCCCTGACAAGGGCTCAGGTGGGCTGCCTTCCTCAGGTGAGTCCTTCTGTGGCCCCAGTTTCTCTGTGCCCTGGAAAACCCTTCAGCTTCTTCCCGGGAGTTCCGGGTTGGCGTTTCTTCTTTGTCTCAGAAACACCAGGAGGAAGTCAGACCCAGGTGAGTGTTATTTTGCCCTGTTTCTGTCATTGAGTTATCTAAATGTTGGCGGTTTGGGGACCCCTCGCCCATTTTGTCTAGTAGAGTAGAGCATCTAAGGAATAGATCCCTTTGGGGGCTATTTGGGAGAAACAGAAGGTAGCTGGAGTCCTGAGTGTGTCTCCACCAACAGCCTTTGGGCAGCACCAGCGTTTTATCCGTGTAGCAAAGTTCTTTGCCATTTTCTTCAGTGACAGGCAGGGGTACAACTTGTTGATGAACAGGGCTCTGTAGAGACTTAAGATAAGGGTTCTGGCAATTGGAGTGAATTATTTCTTTAAACTTACTATGCTCTATCTAGTAGGCCATTAAAATGATGAGCTGAACATTGCTCAAAGTAGTGGCATGTGCTCCCGGGCCATTCAAGGTTCCCTTATAAAACGACCGGCAGAAGCGAGGCCTCTGCCATAGGTTGTGCCTCTTAGCTGGGGCTGAGCTGCAGAATACAGTTTTGACTTAGCAAAGCCAGAAGAAGTTGTGGGGTTTGCAGTCTGTCAGCTCTTGTCTTAATGGACTCTGCGGTACTTCATGTCTGCAGCATAGTCAAGCCTGTCAACCCATCAGAAGCCAGGACTAGCTGTCTGGAGGCTTGATACTTCAGGTGGGATAGACTGGAAGGGTGGTGGAACTGGGAGCCATTCAAGACAGGGTTTCTCTGAGTAGCCCTGGCTGTCCTGGAACTCACTCTGTAGACCAGGCTGGCCTGGAACTCACAGAGATCCACCTGCCCCTGCCTCCCCAGTGCTGGGATTAAAGGTGTGCGCCACCACTGCCCAGAGAGTCATGAGGCTTTGTTACAGCTTTGGCTCTGATACTCCCTGCTTGTCCTTGTGCAAAGGCTCTGGTTTCTTTGTTGTAAAATGACGTAGTTTAACAGGACGATTAGTAAGAGGTGAAAGAACACAGTGCTTGGCACGTAGGAATTTAATAAACATTTCTGTCTTTTAAAGCTTCATTTTATTTTTTTATGTATTTATTTATTTATTTTTGGTTTTACGAGACAGGGTTTCTCTGTATTGTTTTGGAGGCTGTCGGTCCAGCCCGGCCTCGAATTCACAGAGATCCGCCTGCCTCTGCCTCCCGAGTGCTGGGATTAAAGGCGTGCACCACCACCGCCCGGCTTGCTTCATTTTATTTTTAACTATGTGTAAGTCTGTGGTGGGGTATGTGCAGATGCCTGTGGAGGTCAGAAGAAGGTATTAGATCTCTTGAAACTTGGAGTTACAGGTGGCTGTGAGCTGACTGATAATAGTAACCGGGTCATCTGCAAATGAGGTAGATACTCTTAACCACTGAGCCATCTTTCCAGTCCCGGTAAACACAATGCTCAGTCATCCAAGGGCTGTTATAGCTCTAAAAGTCTGCTGAGTTCTTAGCATTTGAATCCAGAGGGCCATGTGATGTTCATGCTATGCTTCTCTGTCATCTTGGTTTACCATGAGTCGGGGGCCCATTGATGATCTGAGTTACTGATTAACTCCAGCTTCCTGCATGGAATTCATAGGAAATCATGCCTGCAATACTAATATTTGATCTCTGTGTTTGTCTATGGGTGGAGCTGTGGAAGGAAGACATAGGAGTCACTTTTACATTACTGTGACTAAAATATCCAAGAACAGCTCAAAGGGAGCAATTGTTTATTTTGGTGCATGGTTTCCCACATCTCAGCCCATCATTGTAGTGGGTCTGTGGAGCAGATCACATCCTGGCAGACAGGAACCCAGAGAAAGGGATACAGGAAAAAGGCCAGGACATGCCCACGGTACCTGTGCCTTCCAACTAAGTCCCATATTCTGTCTTCTACCCACACCTCCCAAATGTCACCCCCGTATGTATCTATCAAGGGACCAATCCAACCCACCAATTAGATCAGAGCCCTCATGACCTTCAGTAATGTCTCTAATTCCCTCGACCACTCTCAATCCAATCAAGTTGACACGATTAGCTATCACACATTGCCTGACTGCACACCCGTCTTTGTAGCTCATGAATTAAATAGAAGGCCCCTCAGATTCATTAGCAGGACAGTCTTCCTAAGGCTCCATCAGCAGCCTTGTCATAAGCCAGCAGTTACATTATCAAGACATTCTTATTTTTATATATTTTCATCTATTTCTTTTTTAATTGTCAAAGCATTCTAAGCCTCTTATAACCAGGCTAACATCAGCCTGGACCTTCTCTGTCTCCCTTTCCCTCTTTGGGGGAGGGGAGGTGACAATTCTGTCTTCTTCCTCTCGACTCTCTCTCTATTCCATCTGTCCACTTTGGAGTCTAGATATGGCCCAGAGGGATGAAGCATTTATTTCCCAGGTGTGACCCATTGACATGGCTTTTTGTCCCCCTTTCAGAAACGCTGGTGCAGTCGATGGTCAAAAACCTGGAGAAGCAGCTTGAAACTCCAACAAAGAAGCCATCCGGAGGGGTCAGTATGTTCTTAAGGCCCAACACTGCCCTTCAGAAGTCTTCCACACCTGTGAAGAAGTCTCAGGTAGGACACTTGAAGATGGCCCTACATCCCATAGAGAGCCAGCTCCATATCTGGAGGCTTTAAGGTGAAGACTGAGTGAGTATCAGCTTTGACATGTCCAGAGAAGAACACTGCATGTGACATTGTCTCCTTTGTCCCTACATATGTGGGAAGATGATCACTTTGAATTTTTTTCTTTCTGTGCCTGTGTTAATGTTAAAAAGCCCTTTGGTTCATTATGTAAGTACTTTCTGAGGAGGTTTGTTTCCTAGTCTCCTGCCTATGGGAGCCTCCTGTTGTGGTGCTATTTTTCCGTGCTGTCTCTTCCATACTGGGCCCCTCCCCAGCAATTACTTCACAGAAGACCTCAGCCGAGGGCAGGATATGAAGCCCTGGGCACCATCAGAGTGGTGCCACACAGCACATCAGATGGGGAAACGCAGATGCCTTTGTTCCAGCTATTCGAGGTGGGGGTGCCTCACCGCTGCACATCTTGGTGGCCTGGCCTCCCCGAGGCCATAGCTGCCATGGATTTGCAGACTTGGTACTCACATGAGTGCCAGACTCTTTTTGCCATCGTCTCCCTCCATTAGGGACCAACTGCCACTTTCTGATATTTTCTAGGGTAAGCAAGTATAGAACTCTTTTCACTTCACACCTTTCAACCAAAGAGGTCCATTTGGAGATGGTGAGGGTGTTGCCCTTAGTAACAGAAGTAGCATTGAGCAGTTATCTTTTAATGCTGCTGATGGAACCTCGGGCCTCACACCTGCCAAGCAGGCACTGAGCAGTCCCCTTACTCCCTCCCTTGTGTTTTATATTAGCACCCCTACATACCATTTCTTATCACATGAAATGCTTGGCTTAACTTGGAGTGTATGTAAAGAGCCCCAAGTTCTGTTCTCCTTTGAGAAAGAGCACCAATAGTCTAAATTAGACAAAGGTGCTGTCTAGGCCCTGGATGGTATCTTCTTTCATGCCAGGATGAAATACATGGGATGTTATATGCCAAAGCCCAGGCATCGAGCAGAGGAGCTGAAAACCCTAGATGGGAACTCCTGGCCTGGGCTATTACTGTGGTCTAGATGGGAACTCCTGGCCTGGGCTATTACTGTGGTCTAGATGGGAACTCCTGGCCTGGGCTGTTACTATGGTCTGGATGGAGCCTGATCTACCAGCAGACTTTAGTATGACCACTGGCCGCAGCTCAGACCTATTCCAGGACATCCAGTTGCCCCCATCTCCTCTCAAGTTCAGTGTTTCCCAGGCGGCTCTGAGCACCAGTCTGTGAGGAAGGATCCTTTTGCCTAAGGTGATTCATCTCAAGAGTTTCAGAAGTTAAAGGCTCTGGGCTTCCAGCCTGTGAATGTGAGGAGTGAAAAATCTGCTCATAGCATTACCCCCACTACCTTTTATTGCATACTGCGTCGGTCTCATCACAGAGCGCACGTAAATATCTCGAAGCTCTCCGTCTTCCCTGTCGTGAGTGGGCACTAATAGTCTAATGCAGATACATGATGCTGTGAACCAGCATACTGCCCAGGTTTAAATGCAAACATGAGTAGCCAGATCTGCCTGTAAACCTCCCCAAGCTTCTTGCCTTGGCCTCATTAGTAGGGTTCCAGACCTGTTTCCATCACTGTGGCCCTGAATCTCTGGAGTAGGGTTTCAGAGGTGGGGAGCTCGGAAGGCAGGACCATTTCTGTGTTGGATGCTGCTGAATTCTCTGTCACCCTCATGCATTTATCAAAATCTATTTTCTTCTCCTCTTTTACCTCTGCAGCTTTCTGAGGATGAGAGTGACTTGGAGATCTCATCCTTGGAAGATCTCTCCCAGGACCTAGACCAGAGAGGAAAGCCAAAACTCCCAGAAAAGCTGGATGCCACCCCTTGGAGCTCTGGGCGACCCAGGGTTCCTGGCTGGTGATTCTGCCTATGGTTGCCAGAGGGCTTAGCCTCATTGGCTGGCTGGGCTCACCCCAACGGGAGAGGCTGTTAGGCCTCTTGCTCCCACCAGCAACCAAGAAGCCTTTCCCATGAGAAGAAGCAGAGCTGGAGACAGACAGGACCTCTACCCATTCTCCCTGTAAGGACTGCTACCTCAGAGGGCTGGGTCCTGCTGCTATCCCAAGAGGCTGAATCCTGGAACGGTGTCTTGTATAAATGGGAGAAGGGTTGTTGTAGGGAGAGATCTTACCTACTGTACCATAGCACTGAACACACCCACTTGGGCGTGGTCACAGGTATGTGGGTGAAGGCAGGGATAAAGGACGAGGAGGAAGGGGAGAGCCCTCTCTTGGGGTTCAGATTGCTGACCTCCATTTCTCGGCTTCTCTTGTAAGTGACTTCTCCCTAATAAAGTATCATATGACTTCCCTTCCCTGTATACTTCGTGTAGCTTAATATTCCTCATCAGGTTGTACCAGGTCCTCCATGTGTTTCTTCCATGATTCCCATGTCCAGCCCAGACTTAAAGGAGTTGCTGTTTATAAGCCTTTTGTAATCAGCAGGCCACCAAGGAGATGGGGCCTGAGTCAGTTTCTCTACTCTGTGTTTGACTTTCACTACTGAGTTGGGGTACAGTCAGAGGTAGGCGATGCGAAGCGTCTGCTGCCTGGGCCAGGCATTGTATTCTAGTGCTGGACATTCGAGTGTTGGGGGGCATGGGAGTGGCTGCCCGTTCTAATTTCCTTCCTGTTGCTGTAGTAAAACACCGGCCAAGAGGAACTTAAAGAAGGAAAGACTGGCGGGCTTACAGTTCCAGGCCACAGCCCATCACTGAGGGAGGCAAAGGCTGGAACCTGAAGGCAGGCCTGCTTGCTGTCCCACACAGCATTACCTCTGACCACGGAATCCACGTCACAGCCGAAGTAGCCTAGCAGGAGCCATGGAGGGTACAGCTTGCTAACCGCTCATGGCTGTATATACTCAACCAGCCTTTCTGTACAGTTCAGGACTGCCTGCCTAGAGATATGCTCACTCTGGACTGGGTTCTCCTACATCCGGGAACAATCGGGACAGTTCCTCACAGACATTGTTCTCAAAGCATTTCCTCCACCGAGGCTCTCCTCTTGGAAAGTTCTCAGTTGTGACACGCTGATATTTAGAACTAACAGGGCACCATTCAACCCAGACCAGGATGACCTTGGAGAAGTTCCCAGAGTTGTGACACCTGCTGGAGCTTATTCGTGAGCAAGAACAATTTGGATACAACCTCTTGTCCCCGTAGAATCACAAATTTCATTTTTGAGACCAGTTCTGACGTTGAGTTTATGTGTAGTTTTTTTATATGACTGAATTTTTTCTTTGGTGGAGGAGTTGAGTTTTTTTTTTCCAGACAGGGTTTCTCTGTGTAGTCCTGGCTGTCCTGGAATTCACTCTATAGAGTAGGCTGCTTCCAACTCAGTGATCTGATTGCCTCTGTCTCCTGTGTGCTGAGATTAAAGGTGTGCATGGTGGCACATGGCGTAGGTTATTTTTTTTAGTGTGAAAACATTTATTACAGTGAGCATTTAAATACAGAGTGATGTATGTACCTCTCTGTTGGTCTTTATTGTTTTCTCCAAGCTTCGTGGACTGAGGGTGGTGAAGAGGAAAGGAAGCAGCTTTCATCTCAACAGTGCCGCCGGTTTAGGGCCTTTGGGATACAGTGATTACTTTGTAATAAGACAGTCAGCTTTACTGAGGTACTTTACCTGGGCAAGGAAAGGTGGCAGAAATGGGATCTGGCAGAGGAAGGCTGTAGAGTGCAATGCAAAGGGGAAGGAAGGAGGGAAGGAAGGAAGGAAGGAGGGAAAGAAGGAGGGAAGGAAGGAAGGAAGGAGGGAAAGAAGGAGGGAAGGAAGGAGGGAAGGAAGGAGGGAAGGGAGGAGGGAAGGAAGGAAGGAAGGAGGGAAGGGAGGAAGGAAGGAGGGAAGGGAGGAAGGAAGGAAGGAGGGAAGGGAGGAAGGAGGGAAGGAGGGAAGGAATGCATGTCTTAGTCAGCAATCTATTGCTGTGAAAAGACACCATGACCACAGCAACTCTTATAAAGTTCCAGAGGTTCAGTCCATTGTCGTCATGGTAGGAAGCATGGGCGTGCAGGCAGACATGGTATAGATAGCAGGAAGAGAGAGGGACTGCTGGCTTGGACTTCTGAAACTTCAAAGCCCACCCACAGTCACACACATTCCCAACTAGGCCACACTTCCTAATCCTTTCATATAGTATCACTCCCTGGTGACAAAGCATTCAAATCTATGAGCCTGGGGACCATTCCTATTCAAACTACCATACGACAGAAGCTAGAAGAGCCCAGACAGCAATGGGGGTCTCTCACAGAGAGCTTCAGAGCTAGGACTGCTAATTGTGAAATCTCCATATGGTTGAGCTTGTCTGGCCTTTGTAACTAATATGCTTTGTCATTGGTTGGCGGAGCCTGGGGTCATGGGGAAACCTCAGCTGAGTGCAGTTGAATTCTGTCAATTTCATCCCTCATAGTTGAATAGCAATTTTATCATCCTATAAAGGAAAAGCAGTCATATGAACACCTTCATGTTTGCCACAACCCTTCATTAATGAAAAATTCAAACGTGTACAAATGGAAGGAACAGTATGGTGAGTCCATGTCCTGGTCACTGGGCTCCAGCCATTATCAACTCAAGCCATTACCAGTTTTGCACTACCTGTTACCAGCCATCGCTCTATGCAGACTGCTTTTGACCTCTGAGTGGTCCTGAAACTTGGGCTAGGTGCTGACGCTCTTGTAGGAGGACACAGGAAAAGTGGTGGAAGAAAAGCTCTGTGGAAAACGTAGTGCATGGGGAGGGGAGGGCCAGGGTCATATTGGTGTAAAGGGACCAGTTTGGTGAGGTTGGAGCAAAGGACTCTTCATGGACACTGGACACAGTTGGACAGTAGGTAATTGTCAGGGACCCTTCAAGCCTCATGGCTTGCAGGGAGATCCATGTGAAGTGAAGAATGAAACTCGGCCAGCACCAGTTTTACACATGTTGGGTCAAAAAGTCCAGAGTCTGACCTCCCAGTTTATTTTTCTTGCACATTTAAGCACAGTAAAACTTTGGAAAAAGGGTTCCACATGACAGTTACCATAACAAAGCTTTAGGCATAGCTACGTAGAAATTCTCTAGCAAAGTGGCAAAGCACCCATGACCATTGCAATAAGGATGAGTTCTATAGCGGCCTAAGGAAGAAGGATTTGCAATAAGCATTAAGGATGGGTTATGTTGATGGAGAATGCAAAGTACATGGGGCTGTCTTAGGGTTTCTGTTGCTGTGAAGAGACACTATGACCATGGCAACTTTTATAAAGGAGAACATTTAATTGAGGTGGCTCACTTAGAGTTCAGAGGCTCAGTCCATTATCATCATGGTGGGGAACATGGTGACATGCAGGTAGGTAGACATGGTGCTGGAGGGATAACGGAGAATCCTACATCTTGCAGGCAACAGGAAGTCGACTGAGACACTAGGTGGTATCCTGAGCATAGAAAACCTCAAAGCTGGTCCCCACAGTGACATACTTCCTACAACAATGTCATACCCACTCCAACAAAGCCACATCTAATAATGCCACTCCCCACGAGATTATGGGGGCCAATTACATTCAAACTACCACAGGGGCCTCTTTCATAAGAATGAGTTATAGTCACTGAGAGACAAAGGCCAGGCTTAGGGCCTAAACATTTCTCAGGATTTGGGAGAAATTTGGGGGAAGGTGGGCTCCATAGAATAGCAAAGGATCATTAGGTTGTTTGACTACTTTCACTCCAGCATTCCAGGTGACCAGGGGCCATTCATTTCCTTCTGTTGAAGAAAATAGGATCACATGTTTGGCAAACCCGGTTCCTCCATTGTTTTCTTTAAGCTGAACCTCCAACAGGTAATTCCCTTTGAGTATCTCATGCCATTGACAGTTGACATGCATGATGGCTATCCATGTGATGAGGAAAAAGGATCGAATGTCTGGAATGTTAGGAGCTCTCTTAGACATGCCAACGTCTTACTCAGTTTGAGTAAAGTGATGCTTGTGGTATCTCATCTTCGTTTGTCTGTCACACTCTGGCCACCCAGAACTCTGAGCAGTGTACGTCTAGTGACAGCCTCCCCAGCACTTGGGATCTGCTTTTTTGCCTCTGGGTTGCGTCTGCTCCTGTGCACCGTTGCATAGCCTGCTTGTAGGAGTGCAAGAGAGCCAATGCTGGCAGGGCAAAGGCCGGTTAGATGTAGAAAGGGATCTAGAGAGGGGATTTACTAGGGGAGTTGACTCCTACGTGGTGGAGGCTGAGAAATCCTGTGATAGGACATCTGAAAGCTGCAGACTCCTGGAAGACAAGGGTGTGGTTCAGTGCTAGAGCTCAGGCATGAGAATCAGGAGAGCCCAGAGTGCAGGTGCCAGCCAAGGCCAAGGGCCTGAGGACCGGAAGGTACTTTTCTCAGAGAGGATGGTGAGCGAATCTGGAGGTTTGATTTTCTCTCCTTCCTTCCTTCCTTCCTTCCTTCCTTCCTTCCTTCCTTCCTTCCTTCCTTCCTTCCTTCCTTCCTTCCCTCTCTCCTTCCTCCCTCCCTCCCTCCTTCCCTCTTTCCTTGCCCCCTCCCTCCCTCCTGCTCTTTTCTTTCCTTTCCTTCCCTTTTTCTTTTTGTTTTTTTTTTTGTAACTTGTTTTTATTGAGCTATATATTTTTCCTCACTCTCCTTCTCTCTCCCCCCCTTTTTTTTGAGACAGATTTTCTCTGTGCAGCTTTGGATGTCCCAGAGCTATTCTTGAACTCACAGAGATCTGCCTGTTTCTGCCTCCTAAGTGCTGGGATTAAAGGTGTGTGTCACCACTGGCCAGCTGAGTTTGGATTTTCAAGAAAAGGAAAAGAAGACAAAGCCATTGAAAGAGGAGACTGCTGGGGTAACAACACCGAATGCCAGCACTCGGCCCAAATTCCCTAGGAATATTAGCTGACTTAGCCTCACAGCAGCCTGTCAGTCCTAGGGCACTGCTTGAACTTTGTCACCAGTAGGCGGTGCACCTGGACTGTGACCTGGGCAGCCTGGTCCTGCAAGTCTTCTCACCCCCATCCTTTTCTTACAGATGGCCAAATGTTCCCTGGAAACTTGAACCAGTTTATAGATTCAGTGCTCTAGAGAGTCCTGTTTGCTTCCCCCTTGCCACCACGGAAAATGCAATTGTTTCCTAAAGTTAGATTCCTATTTTTTATATTGTCCGTTTCGAAAACTTTCATCAGTTGCCTAATGATATTCAGAAGCATCTTGAAGGTATGGTTAATTTTTTGTTGCTATTTTCATCTTTATTGTGGAAAATGTCAAGCATATACAAACATAATAGGACAATAGATTAATAATCATTTAAGAATTGTCAGTACACCAAGAGGAAGA